AAGAATAGGCGTTCCTTGGTTTATTAGATTCATAAGGAAGCGAGACTCTTACCACAGTGAAGTACTTGCATGAACATGGAAGTGCGCCAGGTTGTCCACAAGCAAAATGGTCTGGCAGACCGACTAAACCGTGTTAGATAGAAATGGCAAGATGCATGATATTATAATCCGTTGTACCCATGAATTTTTGGGGCTGAAGCCATTTTATTAAGACATCGTTTTTATCAGAAACTGTGCTCCCTCATCTGCAATTGACTTTAAAAATCCTATAAGAGATTAAAGTTAGAAGCGAAAAATTTAATCAAGTTTTGGTTGCAAAGGCATGAGCGATGAAATTTAAAAAACGCCCTAAGACGATAACGATTTGTCGTTCAATCTTGTAGTACGACAATCATTTCAAAGCCTCGTTAAGCTGTCGTATGACGTAATTCCCACAAATGGTAAAACGATAAGTCGAAAACGACAAATGTTTGAAAGTTATAAAATCAAAGTTCAGTGGGCAATTATTAATAGGTGTCTTGTAACTTTTTAAAATTCTCATCAAAAACACGTTGACTGCGCTTACATTCACCGGGATATGTAGGTTTATTTTTATTTTTTATTTAATTTATTTTTGGTCTTATTTTTGAGTGGACAGAGTCAACCAGGCTGCACTACCAACCACCAACTCACTATAACTTTTGCAAAATATCCATGTCCAAACCGAATTCGAAGCACCAGGGACCCCTTAGTACTCATCCAACTTCAACTGAACCAAATTTATTCCAAATTTTTTTCTTCGACTTACGATCCGTCGCGTCGTAGAGAATCGGTAATGAGTTCCCCAAATGTAGTAATCGATCCAAGGGGGTCCCCCCCCCCCCCGTTGCGACAAGTTTGTACGGGAAGAATAAATGGAAGATGGAAGCTGAGAAATTCAAAATCAAGACTTTGTACTGAGAAATGATTCAGAACAAGGGAAGGCCGCAAAGCTAAAACCAAATAATACAGAAATTTCTTATTTCTCGTTGGAAAAATGCCGCTGCCAAAATATGGAAAAACAGATCGCTTCGATAGTGATGAAATAGGAAGTTCGTTATGAATCCGCGGATCCAAAGCAAACCGAATTTCGCTAAAAATTAATACTCGAAGATCGTGATATGCTACGGAATAAAAAATGATATTAATTTTCCAATTTAATTAACAAGGTCTTGTTGCAGAATAAATGGACTGGATTAATTGTCTTTAAATTCCCAAGCCGTATGCCATTGTATACAAAATTTTATTTATCACATAAATGGCGTTATCCAATAACGTCCCTCCAACTTTAGAATTTTACTTTTAACCAGCCGTTACTGTTAGAAGAACTTTCTTTGTTTTATCACAATAAGTTACAATGTCAGTTTAATTTAGTCCTGTTTTGAATTTGAAAGCGGTTCTCCGACTCGAAAGATGTTCCGTTCGCGCATAAATTTTACCCTTCGAAAAATGAAAGGCCTTGCTACGAATCAGGCTGCCAAAAAGTTTCTTCGTCCGGGAAACGTAGCTTTTTTGTGTTTCTCTGAGAAGGATTTAAACACCCTGAGGCTAACTTAGTACCAATAAAAAGAACTTTCTATCCGAAACAGCTACGGTTATGACTTATGAATTAAACACATTTTTTTCTTAATCTCCAGAATGTGTTCAACTGCTATTAAAGCGTATAATGCACGCAATCTTCAAAAATAGTTTTAACAGGAGTCAGGAAAATGATAACATTACTGGCGAGGAAATATTGAAGTGGCGAGTACTTAATTTCCGAGTCCAGGTAAATGACTTTTAACTGACGAGTTTTTGTATTCAATTTTACCCGAAATCGTCATTTTAATACTTTCAATTTTATATATAACTTTTGATCATGTCAATCTGTCAAGTTGATGACAGGAGTAATTGTAAAGACATTTGGGAAATGTCAAAATATGCGCCCGGTAAAGTGACGCGTGCGGCCAGTAAAAGTGACAAGCGCAGGAAAACGTAGTCCTCTCTAACCTGTCTCATGGAAACTGTAATTTCCTGACAGGAAGTAGGCATGAAAGTTTCAGGACGATTTTGGATAAATATGTTTATAGTTATTGACGTTATAAAGTCCGGTAGGTACTGTAACAGTACGAGTTAGACATTATGGACGAGGCGACGTCAGGAGCCGGTCAAGGAAATGTCTTAACGAGTACTGTTAGCAAGTACTACCGGACGTATATCGTTACGTATTTTATTTCATACTGTAAGTCTGTTTTGTATCTATTTCAAATATCAAGATTAACAAAATTTCAATCATTATTGTAAAAATCGCATTACCTTGTTTTCTGTGCAACGCGCCGTTGTTATAGTTTGTAAGTTTGTTGAACATTGAATTTTTTTCACTGACTGTTCAATTGACGTTATAAACGTTGTGGGATGTTCCACTGTTCCCCGATACAATCCCTGTCGAAATCTCATGAAGCAAACGAAAAGTTGGTTCCTAAGAAGTCGGCCGCAATGGGATGAAGAGTAACAAGTGTTTTTTGCCAATTGGAGGAACGAACATGGGCGAACAAAGTAGAGGAAAAAAGTCATGTTTGGCATAACTTTTGGACGCAGTAAAGTTTTTGAATTGAAGATTTTTTTGCCTGGGTTTCGGTGTTAAAAGCGTCATGGAGCATGGAAAGCTCAATCGACGCAGAAAAATACATCGAAGGCTCGTAGAAGGGAAAAGTTTAAGATTGCCCGTATGAATCAATTGATACAAGGCGGCGAGAATTTCATGAAGTTTCTACAGCAGAAGGATCGAACATTACTAACTCGACCATACAGTAATAACCCAGGCCGTAGTGTTTGAGGGCAATACAAATGTTTTCATTACAATCAATGTTGAATGGTTTTGAAATCAAAGAATACAGCCAAATTTATGTTGGGGTTTTTTAATTAATTGTGTGAAGATGTCAAATTTGATGTATACAAATAACAGTCCGGTAAGTGTTTGCTTAGAGACACTTACCGGCTTCTGAATGCTGTAATAACTCACCTACCGGACTCAAATGATAGTGTAATCGAACCATCTACCGACAGTATGAAATAATAGTAATATTACCTGACTGAAAATTTTTTACCAAGACTGGAAATTTTCCTAGCCAACCGCATACTGACATCCTTCCTAAACGTGATATTTGAATTGATTGATTGATATGATATCTTGTCAAACTACTGTCAGATCCAAACAAATCAAGTGATCGACTTTTGCTTTAATTTTAATGTGTACCTAACACATTCCTAATCAAAATGGTTTTTTAAAATAGAAATAGAGCAGTAATGAATAAAATGTTTTTACATTATTGTATGTTAAAAACAGTTAACGTTACTCGTTTCGAAATTCCTGCCTCAGCTAACGCTTTCGGCAGTAAACATCTCACTCGTTAACGTAAACCTTGATTAACCAATACTCATATGTAAATAACTATTAAAGGCTTCAAATCAGATGACTAGTTTATGATATGAAAATCCATGGTTTTTTTCTTTAACAACATCGTACTTATTTTCTCCAGAATCGCCATGAAACCTTCAATTTTTATGCCCTACTTTATGTGCGAGAATAGTATCGCTAAAATTCCTGGAAAATGGAAAATAATGTCCCATAGGTATTCTCGCACGATTAAGGCGTTGTGCAGAGTGCACCATCGCACCAATCCTGTTGAAACGCAACAGTTTCCAAACTTTTTTGTGTGCTGTATATCGTTGTATCCGCAATAAAAATGCTACTCAACACGCGTAGTAACTTTTTTGACGGGCCAATAAAAAAGTCATTAGTTCACTGACATTACATTGAGGATAGCCAATAGAATCCTATATAGGCTTATTGTCCGTCGATAACCAATGAAACCATATTTTTTGTTTCTATTGGTTATGATCTAATGATAGCTGAACTAATGATAAGTGAGTGTTTAATCCCACAATAAACTTTGAATATTATATAAAATAAGTTCTGAGGTACTCATTATGCGAATTTTTAGTGTGTGGAGAGACGTGGCCCTTACGTGCCGCTTTGGCGGCGGGAGCTCGCGGTATCAACCCCCGACGTTCAATCGGCGGTTATCCCCTACACTACGGGCTGCTCAGATGTGTGGCGGAGTAAAGTCTTAAGATTACCGGTTGCTTAAAATGATTCCGACTGCTTTAGGAGAAAGATACATCGTTTGGGATTACAAGTGTTGTTCAGCATTGCTCTCAAGCGAAGATATCGATGTATCAGTTGAAGATGTGACGGTCGCCCGCCCCTCCTTTGGCGGAGTGGCGGGTTCTGCCAAAGCAGTTTTTGGCGCCTAAATACGAGCGGGGTCTTCGTTGAAAGTCACGATAAGGATGGTCTAACTGCGTTGCATTGCGCTGGCTCGCGTGGCAACACTGACTGTATAAGATGCACTGTTAACTCTCTCTGGAGCTTCTCCAGACGTAATTGGACAAGTAATGGATGCAGCGCGCTGGCATTATGCGTCACACTTGGACACGCTGATGCTACAGCGTTGCTCTTATCTCATAGCGCCCTCCAATGGCAGGATAGAAAAATGAAGAAAGGCCCAATCCGGCACTGTGGATGCGCCAAGACAATTTTGAGACTGTGAAGATGCTGATAATCATGGAGCTTAAACCTTTGTTGCGCATGCCCCAGAGGACTTACCTCTTCACGAGGCGGCAGCGTCGGGTCGGAGAGAACTAGTACGCTGTGCTTCTGAAGTCGAGACCAAGCCAAGTGAGCGCGAGAAATAACGACGGAAGGTGCCCACCTACATTTAGCCGCATTGAACGATAATGCAGACATGTGTAAGGTAAGAAAACAAGAAATGTTTGTAAAATTACTTACTCCGTTAATTAATTCAACACGTTTAAGGTTATGTCCATCTACTTGAACAGCTTCGTATCGCCTTCGAGTTCATCAATGAGATGCTCCCAATAGATCCCATTAAAAAAAGCGAAAAGTTATTTGTCACGACTATATTTTCAGTTCATAACTCTATTCGGTGAGTTATCCAATAATATAGTTCTGGATTACTCTTGACACTACAAAAAACGATAAAATCAAACATAAACTTTAACCGTAATTGCAATTTTTCTGTAATTTGTTTCCGCAAAATTTAATTTTTCTTTGCGGGCAGTTTATTGGAATGTCAAGAACGACCTAATCAATTTCTTTTTTTTGCCATATCATTGTTTAATATTTTCCGACAAAACGTTATTTTAGTTGGAGACATGCCACACGTTTATAAACGATCAGTTAATAAATTTCCCAGGCTTGGCGTAAATGAGAAAAGTTTATTCATCATTTCTCAGAAATTTACGTGTTCTATTTAATAGCGAGTTGATAAAAAGGGCAGGGTAGTATTTCAGTTACAAACAACAAAAATTTTGCGTTTGGAATAAGTGGCCAAGACAATATACGTTTTGATGTACAGCCATCCACATAGACTTGCATTTATTGGTTTATCACAAAGTAGCCAAATTTTCGTTGACCAAAAAGTAAAGGGAATACTACAGGTTGTGTCTCCGATATCTGGAAAGTTTAAAGATATTTCGCACATCGATTTTCCGGAAAAAATCAAATTAGCATTCCAATATTTCAATAAACACGCAGTAATTTGTATTATTTTAATGCGTCAATACAAAACATCGTAATAAGGCACATTTTATTTATTTATTTATTTAATTATTTAATTTATTTATTTATTTAATTTATTTATTTATTTATTTATTTATTTATTTATTTATTTATTATTTATTTATTTATTTATTTATTTATTTATTATTTATTTATTTATTATTTATTTATTTATTATTTATTTATTTATTTATTTATTTATTTATTAATTTATTTATTTATTTATTTATTTATTTATTTATTTTTATTTATTTATTTATTTATTTAATTTATTTATTTATTTATTTATTTATTATTTATTTATTTATTTATTTAAATAATTTATTTATGTAGTGATTTTCGAAATCTCCAACGTGTTGTGCATCACTGTCAATCGTGACTAGGAACAGATGCCGACCTCGTGTCCGTGCGGTGCATGGGCCAATCGTAACTGATTTAAAATTGGATTCTACAAGTCATAGAGGGCTTTTTATCAAGAATACTTTTTTGTCTCTCTATTTGTATCAAAACTTTTGGACACACTGTATGACGTTGGCAATGTTATCGAAACTCCCCCCATACCAATAACGTCAAAACCTGCAATCAATTTTTTATGTCCCCGTCCATCCAAAAATCATTATTAGGCATGCATGCTCATGCGCAGACCCATAATCAAATAGCCATGGAGGCTGAGAAACATTGGAAGCTCTATAAGGCGAGTCCAAGGTTTCGCAACCGAATCACAAACCGATTTCAATTTGAACAACTTTTAACGAATTAGTCACAAAGAAAACCTGATGCGATTTGAAAAAACAAACACCACTGGAGCTTCATTCCTAAGTTGACTGGCCTAACAAAAATAATAGTACATTATATATCAAGGTAGAGAAGTCCAGTATTATTGCCTGAGCACCAAGATTACATCTCGAGGCGCTTGCGCCGAGGGGTGTAAGGTGCGAAGGCAATAATAGACTTCTCTACCGTGGTATATATACTATTTTTTTCACTACTAGCACTTGAAATCCTCTAAATTAACATATTATATTGATAAGAGAGTTAACGGTTGGACAGAATTGTTTGTTTCTTAATTTAACATGTCAATCAAGTACGTGGAAGTACAAGTCAAACAGGCCGTATTTTGTTCTGTCATTGAGATTTTTCAAAGAGTAATTTCGTTCGAATTTTTTCAAAATGTGATAATTTTAGGTATGTAATTTCTCTGGAAATTGCGAATGGTGGCAATTATTCGTTTTAGAGAACTTGTCTAAACGTTCATTGAGCGAAATTTCGGGTTGTGTTTTCTAAAAGTGACAGCGTGACAGTTCTCATTATTGACTACTAGTTAATAATAAAAAATTATTAACCACTTTGAACAAATGCCGAGAAAGCCTACTTTACAAGTGGAAAAAAGGTTAATAATCATGTCATCAGACGCTAGTAGTGAAAAATAGTACATTATATATCAAGGTAGAGAAGTCCACTATTATTGCCTGAGCACCAAGATTACATCTCGAGGCGCTTGCGCCGAGGGGTGTAGGGGGCGAAGGCAATAAGAGACTTCTCTACCGTGGTATATATACTATTTTTTTCACTACTAGCACTTGAAATCCTCTAAATTAACATATTATATTGATAAGAGAGTTAACGGTTGGACAGAATTTTTGTTTATTAATTTAACATGTCAATCAAGTACGTGGAAGTACAAGTCAAATAGGCCGTATTTTGTTCATTGAGATTTTTCAAAGAGTAATTTCGTTCGAATTTTTTCAAAATGTGATAATTTTAGGTATGTAATTTCTCTGGAAATTGCGAATGGTGGCAATTATTCGTTTTAGAGAACTTGTCTAAACGTTTATTGAGCGAAATTTCGGGTTGTGTTTTCTAAAAGTGGACAGCGTGACAGTTCTCATTATTGACTACTAGTTAATAATGTCCAATTATTAACCACTTTGAACAAATGCCGAGAAAGCCTACTTTACAAGTGGAAAAAAGGTTAATAATCATGTCATCAGACGCTAGTAGTGAAAAAAATACATTATTAGTTGCTCTTCGACCTAACCTAAAAAACCCTACACCAACTCAAAAAGAATAATCAATAAAGTATCTACTTCCATTAATTCAGTTAGCTTCTCTTGACAGCTTCATAAACTTGTCTTCATTTTATAACACTACATACACTTTACTAAACTTCTACACTAATCCTTTCACTTCACTTCTGTTCTAAACATAACCTCCTTATTACAACTCAACTGCACTTCACTTCTACCACAGATATAGGTACACAAAGAACAGATTGATAACCTTAAAATTACGCTTATGGGCTTATGTAGTAGATGTCGCGCAAAAAATTTAAAGCAAATGAGTACAACATTTCTTTCTTCTTAGATTGATTTTCTCCATTTCCAATTCTTCTTCAATCCTTTGTCTTCATTAATAATTCCAACTTTTCGTATAATTATTATTTGATTACCTATTTGATTATTCTTCTCTCTTTGGTTACCTCCATTGTTTTTATTAATTCCTTGTCGATTTGGCAATTCTTTCCATTTCCAATAACTTCGAGTATTCTACAATTTTGCTTTTTCTTGACCGTTCGTCTTCTCTTCTTCTTGTAATTTTAGTTCTTGTTGTAACTTCTTGTTTTTTTTTTTTTTTTTTGCCTTTATTTTTAAGTGGGCGGGGTTTCAGCCGAGGCTGCTCTACCAACCCAACCCACTATACATTTACAAATATCCATGCCCGAACCCGGATTCGAACCAGGGACCCTGTACCGCAGTCGAGCATCCACTGAACTGCGCTACACGGGCCGGCTATATTGTTCATATCTGACAATGAAAGTGATTTTGCATGATTCAAATGTTCTCGCTCTGAACTAGCCATTCTCTCTTCTTCTTCTTTAGTTTCAAAGTTAACCCTTGTGTTCTAAGGATAGCTTCTCGAGTTTTGATTATCTTTTCGTTGAATGCTTCCGCTCTCTTTTTTTCAAATCCTACCTTCTTTGGCTTGCTCTCCTAACCCCTGCAATCTCTCCAAAAAGTTACTTTCTATTGCTTCTTTTCTTTCATCTGATTCAATTTCTTCTAGCACTTATTCTAGCTGCTGAAAGAATTTACTTAAGTTTTCTTCTTCTCTGTTATAAATGTTTTTGGTTTCTCCAATGTTCATTTGTTGTATTACAACTCGCTCATCTTCTTCAACTGTTTTCGTTCCTTGTCTTGTTGAAAGTAATGTTTTGTAAAGTTTCTTCAAACCTGGTCCCCTCCTTCGTATTATAGTTTTCCGAATGTTCGTCATTTATTAAATTCGAGCCCCTCCAATGCTCCTCCTATTGGACTCGTATCTTCTTTCTCTGATAAATAATGGACGATGAATTTCTTTCTCCAAAGGTCGTTTCATGCCTTTCTTGCATTTCGAATATGATACAGTCTTGCTATTGCTATTGGTAATTCTCGTGGTAAGGGTTTCTACTTTTTCGTTCCACTGCGCGCAGACTTCTCTTTGTTTTTGGATGATTTCTGCATGAACGGCTTGGAGTTCTAATCGATTTTCCTTAATTTTTTCCCTCGTGTTAGAATGTTCAAAACTCAAATTGAAATGGCGTTCGCGCCTTTAACTATTCTATGGACTTAGGCCATTTGTAATGGAGTATGAGTGGGGGAAGAGAATGGAAAATGGCCTTGGTGAGAGAGAGGTGGTGAGTTTTATTTTTCTTAATAAAGTATAAAATGAACTGAGGAAAATAGCTAACACCCGTTTCTTCTCTTAACTTATCTTGGTCAACTTTAATCTTCTTTTCTAATGGAATCTGTTTCTCTTTGAATTCTTGACGAACTTCTTCAGGCATCCTTTTCATTTTCTTGTTTCATCCTATTTTCTTCTCTATTTTATCTTGGCCTTCTTTGATAAGCACTGCGATCATGTTGGTTAATTGCTGCATCTGTCCTTGAATATATTATACTGCTGTTTCTGAATGTTGTCTTCTTTTTGCTCTCACTTGTTGGGAATTGCTCATGTTGCGCTTCTTCACCCCTTCCCCAATTTTCTTCTTCAATTTCCCAGCTTACAAAGATCTCTTAACTTTCTTGAAAATTATAAACTTCTGGAATTTCGGATATACTTTTCTGGAATTAATTTTCTTTTGGTCAATCTTAACACTTCTGCGATCCTTGTTTCGCGTAGCACCTATTTATTTCAGTAAATGTGTAACGGTCAATCAACCTATGGTATGCGCGCAACTATAAGATTTGTGGTTTAAAGTTCAACTCGTGCACGCAAGCCGATTTTTTTACTTTTATTTTGTGACCGAGGCCGTTACAGGGTGTTCATTCGAGCCCAGCGTTGGGCGCCATTTGTAACGGGCTTAATTACATTTTCAAGGGTTGAAACTCCACTTTCATAAAATAAAATTGAACCTCTACGACACTGGCTAAAAATAAGACAATTCATTTTTATTTAACCGACGGCTAGCTCAGTAATAAAGATGCTTTTTATAGGCTTTGACTTGGTAGTTCCATTAAAAAAATATCAAGTTACCTGAAATTTTGAAAATTGACGGAGTGACTTCTTTTAACACAAAAAAGGTTAATTTTGACCGTTATAGCCGTATAGCTTATAAAAAAACAACAAAATGATCTATATGAAGTCTGTAGACCCAATAGAAGCAAGGTTGTAGCTCATGAAAAGTAAGTTCTCATTCGTCAAATTCAAAATCGAGTACTTCAACGTGAAATAACCATAAAATGAAGCACTTTTCGGGAAAAACTTATGAATGCTTTTTTAAAGTGTTTGAAAAAACCTTTCTTTTTGTTTTTAAGAAAGTTCCTAGCATCAAAACTAAGTGAGTTACGCACAAAATGAGGTTGGTCCTTTTTGTCGGTAAAAAAATCGAGGAAATCACCCCCTAATTCACACCTTAATTGTAATTAAGCGTTACCGCTTTACAGTTTACTTTATTTATCTATTGTTTATATGATCTGTAAGTTTGACCGGTGCAAAGTGCTTATTTTTGAAAAAATGTAGTTTTGAAGTAAAAAAAATTTGAAATTTTGAAAAATTGCCTTTTTTTCAAAATAACTTCAAAAGTATTAGTGATACGAAAAATTTACAAGAATAAAAATGTAGCTTTTGCTTTTCTGAACATTTTGCTTTTTCTTTGTTTTTTTTTGTAAAACAAAAATTGGTTCAGATATGGCTGTTCAAAGTTTGCATACACTCGTCATTAGCCCTTTCAACTATAAATAAAAAATAAAGGTTTAAAAACCCCTAAAAAATAAACAGCAACCAACGGCACAAGTCCAATTTTGAAGTGGAGGGTAAGAATAACCTAAATCCAAATTTCCATGCAAATCAGTGGAGTCAAAGTATGACATTGTTTTAATTATATCTATTTTAGAGGTAAGATTTAGGGGTTAAACTGTGATAAAATCTTAAGTTATGTTGTTTAATGTTAATTGATATTTATTCACTCCTTTAAAAAATGATTTGAATCAATTAATTTACAATTATACGATTTTTTTCTAATAGGGGTAGTTTTTTTTCCCTAAAAAATAAAAAGCAACCCTGGGTTCAAGTTCAACTTTGAAGTGAAGGGTAAGTAGAACCTAAATCCAAATTTTCATGCGATTCGGTGGAGACGCGGAAAATTACACAGTATCGCCGTATTCCACGTGCATTTACTGGTATGATTCACAGGTGTTATTTAACAAAATTCGTTAAGCCGCTTGTGAGCAAGGGGCGAAGAGTGCACTTTCAAATTTGTTTTTTCGATTTTAATAGCCCTTATGGACATTTCATACCTTAACAAGAACACAAACAATAAATAATTTTTAATTTCTGATCGAATGACATTAACCCAACCCTGTAAGTGGTGTAGTTCCGGAGCCTTTGTGACTCAGCAGCGACGGCGTCAGTGTTTCTGAAATAGGTGGGCACGAATTGGTCCCAATCTTCTTAAGGTGGGCACCAACATTGTAGATTCTTCAGCAAATAAAAAAAATTTGCATACCGTAAGGCGTAACTAAACATTTACTTATTCGATTATTCTCTATAAAACAAATTTTTACAGTCAAAATTTGAGGCAGAGGCAGTTGGGCACTTGGGTGGGCACTTTGCTTAACAGACTGGGCACGTGCCCCCCAGGCCCCCCCCCCTGGTGCCGTCGCTGTGACTCAGACAGACAGACAGACATCAAGAGCGAAAAAGTGCACGTTTTATTTTTTTAAGTGAAAGTGCACTAAAAATGCAACATTGATACAAAACATCCTTTATAACAATTGCAATTTCATTAAAAATATTTTTCGAGTCCTTCAACATGCTTCGACAATGAATTTTAAATATGTGCGTTAGTAACCCACAATCTTCCATCTACGCACTAATGGCCCACCCTGTATTTTAACTTTTACCGAATTCTTTTTTTCCTAAGTTTATACATCCCAAATATTATTTACACGGTTTACACCGTTAAGTTATAAAAATGCACTCTTATACCTACTTTGGATAAGGAACTTAGGGGCGCAGATAATTCCCTTGCACGAAACGCACAAAGAAAGAGCTCGTGCGGCATTGCAAAATGGTTCCTAACGGTTTCTTCCGTTACAACAGGTTTGGTCTCAATTAAAATTAGTCCATGAAAATTCATAAAAAAATTAACTGAAATATGCTCGTCGGACAACAAAAAATCGTCAGAATTTTACAACATTTAATCAGTAGAAAAAGTTCATTGAATACCTAACAGTAGAGCAATTTTTTTAATAAAAAGATGTGCTCCGAATATAGTGAAATATTGCTTTGTCACGGGCCAATAATTATGCGAAATGGGAAATTTCGTCTTGATTAGAACATTTTGCATTTGGTTACACTTTCTCATTGCGCGTTCCTTATTCGTTGAGAATGCGGCTATAAATAACCACAGGAGCGTTCGTTAATCCGGATTCAAGGATGGCTTTGAGAATTCTGCGTTGCGCATGCTCCGGCTATGCACGCAAGCGATTATTTGCTGTAAAATGTAAACAAATTATAATCTGCAACATTGTTAGTAAAAATAGTTCTTCCACGTTATGAACATATCGTGGTTTACATAATCAATAGCGACACATTATTCCGGTTTGATACAAGGACAACCGTCGCGCGTGCTTTTCACTTCCGTATTCGGATTAGTCGTTCATTGACATTTGGATAAACGAGGTTCGCGTACCGCGCGCACTTCTATTTGGCTAGTGACTCATTCGTTACGCGTTATCAGTGTTGCGTAATACTTAAAAAATGACGACGAAACGAAAGAAAGTGATTGTCTCATTAGACAAAAAGTTGGACGCTATTAATAGAATAGATAAAGGCGAGTCAATGAGAAGCATCGCACAAGAAATGGGTGTTGGTAGTTCAACCGTGTCCGATTGGAAGCGAAACCGTAAGGAGATCGAAGAGTTTTGTAAGAAAATGGTGACCGCTGTCGGCTTGCAAGGTAGAGGCACTATGAAATCGGCAAAAAATAAACAACTGGACGACGCATTGTTCGCATGGTTCGCCGAGGAAAACGCACGCGGTACGGTCATTACAGGACCGATTTTACAGAAAAAAGCGTTAAGTCTAAATCAGGAGTTACCGATGAACGATCCCGGCTTTACGGCCAGCCACGGTTGGCTGGAAAAGTGGAAAACTCGGCACGGAATTGGACATTCGTTTGCGTGCGAAAGAAAAGTTCAAGGCGAAGCGAGTGTGAAGCAGGAAATGGGGGTGTGCAAAAATTTTAAATTGGAAGATGTATATTTTAGCGAGGAGAGTGAAACATTCGTGACAGATTCACATGGTGACGACACATCGGTGGAAAACGTGGTCGACTCCTATAGCTGGAATGTGGAAAAGGTGTTTATTAACGAACAAAGTCACAGTGGAAGTGCCTTAGTAGCGAATACTTCTGAAAACATTTCAGAAGTTGTAACTCACATGGAGGCAACGGTGCTTTTTGATAAACTACTGATCTACTTGCAAAGTCAGGGAGATACAACGGCCAGAGAAATGAGTGTAGTCAATGAACTAAGGAGTCGTGCTGCTCGAAAAAGAGGGTTAAAGACATGGGTTCAACAAAAAATTACACAGTACTTTAGTAACAAAGAAGCCGTTTAGTCTTCTCCATTGTTAAATAAGTAAATGTAAATGTTGAATTTATACTTAGCGTAGGTATATATTTTTAAATTACAGAAGTTTAAACATAATGTCTTTACGGAAAATCAACCTTCCCGTAACATACATAAGATTGCATATTCTACTATTCCTAAGGTGCAGCGGTGGCATAGAAAGCAGACCAACAGCTAATCGCTGTATCTCACCATATGCTGCTGCGTAAAGCGAGGAAGAAGGTAGGATCTTAAAAGCTCATCAAGTTCCACTCGTACATTAGGAGGTCGCTGAACTAACAAGAGGTACAGTACTAAGATTGAGTTAGGCGGTGAAGGATCCTGATGCGAAACCAGTGCTAAATAAAATTCCTCCTCGGTACACATTACGATTTTCTAAATTTACAAGACCTTTGGTAGGTACGTACAGGTACAGGACAGAAAAAAATATAAAAAGTAGATTATGCATTGCAAATTCAAATTTTTTATTTGTGCACCAATTTTTACATTTTAACAGAAGATGATTCTTATAAAAGAAAATTGAAAAAGTATGTCCGAACATGGATTGCGCGTAGGCATAGCCATTGTTTAAAAGTATTTAAACAATGGCATAGCCAAGGTCTTCGCGACCGTCCGTGGGTCCGTCCGTCTGTCCGTCCGCCCGTACGGCTGTGTCACTTTCAGATCTTTATTTTAAGAGATACAGTTATAGCAAAAATTTTGTTTTCGCTTCTCATAATTTTACATTGTTGCCGTTTATCGTGCTAATACATTTTATACGTTTGTTGCATTTTGATTTTTGATTAGCCAAAATTTAAATATGAAACTTGCTCTACTTTAGCGACCATTTTGGCACAAAGAAAAAACCCAAAATTTGATTAATCAAAGGGAAGTCTTTTCTGTCAAAGACGCCCTTGCCATTTTGGCTGTAAATGAAACACCAGACGTAATTAAAATTAGTTGTCCAGCTGAAGAGCATGATAATAAAGAATCAACTAGAGCTGGTGTTTTCAATCTTGAAATTGGAAAATAAGTTACATGTGATTTTTTAACTTCATTCACTGACGTTAAGCTCCTCTACTGTTCACCGGGCATATTGAAACGACTGCCCCCATATCAAATCAAAAGGAACAATTTGAACTCCAAGAACAGAAAGGAAAGGTTACGGTAAAACAGCAAACTCAGCAAAAAGAGAACCTGTAAGAAAATCACAAGAATTGAAGCGGTATCTAAGTCCTTGGAATCCAAAGCCGCAAGTTCAACAAGTTAAAAAAGTAATCATAAACGATTTACAAAAAGCGCATTTCCACTTTCATTCATTTCCTCAAGATTTGCTCCCTACAAAGTCGCGAGAGGTGAGAAGTAAGAAGTAAGAACGAATAGGTTATAAGTTAACCAAAAACTAGAGTGGCATGACACGTGAGGACAAGAAAGCAGAAGTTCTCAAACTAGTAGAAACTGTGAATTGAATCTAAATTCGAATATAATTTAAAGTAAAGGGGGTTGGAGAAAAAATTTTATGTTTTATTCGTACAAAAAATGCGTTTTCGGGACTCGGAAGGTTGCTGGACTCCGCTAACGCGTCGTCCAGCAACTATCTTCCTCGTCCCGAAAACTGACATTTTTTGTACTATAATGAAACAAATAACTATTGTATATAAAGATGGTTTGTAATGTACCTATATAAATTAAGGCACATAGTCACAATAGGTGCAAGTTACTGTTTTAGGTAAATTTATCTGTTAGTTTTCATGGAAAATTAACGTAAGAGATTATCTATCAGATAAATATCACACAAACAGGGAAGACATATCCTCAATAATGAAAGCACTGTTTACGAGGGACGTTGCATTAAAGTACCTACTAATTAAAAGTTTGTTTACATTCAAAATATTTGTATTTTACAGATTCTAATCGACGCGGGAGCCAATATCAACCCAGTTTTGCGAACATCCAAAAATTCACTAATGACGCCCATGGATTGCGCGCTCCAGCGTGGATTCAGGTCAACGGCGAAGTATCTTCAACTCCACGGCGGCGTTCCAGCGAACCGTCTCACTGGCCCCTCTCAAGGACCCGCCATCTCGAGCGCCATCAGTTTGCAAATTAGAGACGACGTGACGCTTTGGGGAGGTACAAGTTCGGAAGGTGAAAGTGAGGACACCAAGCAAAAGAAAAAGAAGAAAATGTACAAAAGGAAGTTGGACTACAAGTTTGAGAAGAAAAAGGAGCCGATATCTTTAAGCGATTTGGAACCAACCAAATTGTGTGAATTAAATTCGGCACATTCTGTCGAGAAGAGCAACACTGTCGAACGTAAAGACGCCACAACGTCTATAGATAACGACAATCCGCATCAAAGTGAAATTATAATTTATGCCAATGAAGTGAATATCAATGAAAAATTGGGGGACATAAAAATAGAACGAACAAACGAAATTTCCACCGAACGAGGTAAAATTAATTTAAATTATACTAAAAGAAATAGTTCTAGCTCTGAGAGACGACCGAAAAGTGCGAAGTATGGTAGACTTAGAAAAAATAAAAAATCGATCGATACGAATGAAGTAGAACAACAAGTAGGAGAAGAAGAATTTACTGGAAAAAAAGATGCTGAAAGTGATATATCAGAAAAAAGAATGCAAGTAATAGAAGATCATAATGAGCGTACGCACGAAGATGACGTGGAAAAATGTAATAACGTTGCGCCTTTGGAAATGGCGCCAGAAGCTGCACTTGCGTGTCAATCAAATGGCCAATCAGCAAGGTCTAACACCAGTTTAGAAGACGACGATGGTCATAAAGAAATGGTGGTTGAAGTATCAGTGCATTCGCCTCCTAAAACACCTCAATTTGATACGAAGCAGGCTATTCCAAGTAACGTTCAAAATGGCGAAACTAAAGGGGATGAAGGCAATGTTGCACATGAAGTGATAGTGGATTTGCCCTCAACAAACGACGTACCAAAAGATGTTCAGATCAAACAAGATCGGATAGATATAAAACACGAACCAGAAGAAGATATCAGCCCCACTGCCATAAACGGTGGCGATGCAATCAGTATCGCAGATACAAAAGTAAATGGATCTAAGGAACCTACAACTACTCCGGATAGCGGCAATGTATTGAAGACAATCGAGGCTTCGCCTTCGCAGCAGTTATCTGACAATAACGCTAAAGACGAGTGTATGAATGAAGAAAGTGCCTTAACAAATAATCAAGTGGAGGACAATAGCTTGGCTAATCAAATTGACGTTACTATAAAATCAAAGAATAACGGTGCTCAAGATTCACATGGTAAAAAAAGCGATGTGGATACTCATACGGTAGAGCTAGAAACGCAAACTGGTGCTCATGATCTTACCCCAGTTGGTTTCCCCAATTCTAAACCAAGAGAAAGATCAACCGATACACTATCTGATGAAGAAAGTTCCTCTAGTACTATTAATACAAAACAGCATAAGAGCTTTACAGTGTTAAATGACGATGAATATGCACACGTCCCAGAGGTGAAGGCCTCGTCGGAAAGTGGATCACCTAAAAAATTTAGTCAACACGAACGACTGCGTCGTAGTAAAATTCCCACTCCGATATCTAACCTGAAGTCTCCTCTGTCGAAAAGCGATAGATACTTAGAGCGTTCCAAGCAAGACCGCACTGGCATTGACATTCGTGTTCCATCACTTCCAAATATTTACACGGCTAAAGGAATGGAGTTAAAGGAGACACGTCCTGTTTCGAATATATCCGCACCGATAGCGTCAACTTACAGTGACAACGACAAAGAAACCGGATCAGATGGTGATGAAATGGGTAGTGCCAACAGGCGAAAAAAGCTGAGAAAACGATCGAAAGGAAGAAACGCGAAGAGTGCGGGTAGCGACTACGACAGTAATTTGATTGATTCCGGTTTTGAGCCCAGTCCCAGGAGCACGAGGTTACCAAAATCGAAGCATATGACCGAACGCGGGGTCAATATGACGTCCGTTACTCAAACAATCCAATCCAATATTAGGAGGTTGACGTCCATTCCATATCTATCTTTTCTATGTGTTGCTTTTTAGGTATCATTTGGAGAGAAAAATCTTTCAGCATTTGCTAGATCTAAAACGGTTGCAAATACGTTCGGGCCAACACAACGAAGCTGTGCTAGTGAAACGTGCAATAGACGCTTACCATCGGTCCTGCGCGGCAACTGTAGGTGCCGGTCGATACCTATCTCAGGACTACACGTTCAAGCAGTTCGAAAATTTCCTCTACAACTCGTTGCGCAAGATACAGAAGAACGGAAGCGAACATTTGAATGGACTTCCCGAAACACCCCGGAATCCGTTGCATTGCACTCAAAGCACACATCGTTGTGACCACGCTACTCACGCCTACACGGGAGTTCCGTGTGCTGCTTATTGTAAGTATTTAACACGCCGATAGTACCGTTAACAGAACGGGAACAAATTTCAGTGCCCAGGATGAACCATCACAACATTCCAAAGATCGGGTTTGAATGTAAACCTTCAAATTTTTTACCGAAAATTGCCTCGAAGAACGCTGTAACGTTGGAGTTGTGCCACGGAAACGACAAGCAAGTGATTTCGCTACCAGCAGAACGTTTAGATCAAAATAAGCGATACTACGTTACTTTCACTGTAAAGGGATCAGATGAAAAGTCCAGTAATGACTCAGTTCCGAATTCACATCTACATTCAAAGAGCGATTAGCCTCTAAGGATTATTACGTAATTCTGTGCCTCTAAAAGAAAATTATGTGCAATATTTTATTTGATCTGTTACATGTAATATAGTGCCTATTATTTATTCGTACATATTTTAATAAACGTTATAGGAAGTTGTTGAACAAAACGCCAACCAGCGCAATGCGAAGAAACCTAATGGCCGACAGTCAAATCAGTGTATCGCCGTTAAGGTTTCAAGAGAAGTACCTGTAGGTAGGTACTAAAAACTACTAGCATTACTCTTCCCACAAATAATCTCGCAAACAATTTACACGTGATTACTAAAGCAGCCCTTTTTAGCGCATTTTCCAACTCAAGTTGGAAGGTGCTATTATGACCACTTTTTTGGTCCGTCCGAAGCCGTAACTAGTCCTACAGTTTTCAAGATATTGAGTTCGTTCTTTTTGCATTCGGTATCTAACCCCAACCAAGAAAAATCTTGACGATTAATGTGTGCATGCGCAGTCTGCGCAATATCAACTTTCTTATTTATAGATATATTTTTGAAATTTTAAACATAGATTCTTGTAATGAAGGCAAACATATCCGTTACGTAGGCCGTTACATCACCCCCTCGGGAAGTACGTTATGGAAAATGCGCTAAAGCTACAACTTACACGTCTTAAGGCCAAAACCTTTTACATTTTTTTTAACTTGCATGCAAGTAAATCAATAACGTATGGCAATAGTTCTATTGAAAGTAAACAAAATTGGTGTGGCCAGTACAGATACCACCCGCACACCTGCGCATGCGCGCTTCTGCTCAAAGGCTTCCTTTTATATCTAAGAATATGTGTGTCAAAAAAACTAGAATTATCGGGCCCTATTGGCCTGTGTGGCATCCTACTTGAACAATCAGCATTAGTCTGGCGAAATGTAGAAACGCTAAGTAAAAATGAGTTTCTTCAAAACATAACTTTTCCTCACGGAAGAATTTTGTTGAGACCCAGTACCTTCCCTTTATAATATTTACTTCTCATGCATCGATTCGCTTTTTATTGAGCGAATTATCTAATCCACAAATACATTTGCATATGTGCGCATGCAGCATGTTGAAGTGATTAATGTAATCTTTCCATTAAGAGGCGCTACTGTTAACATTTCACTAAAATCGGTCAACAAATAAGAGAGTTACTTCTGCGCATGCGCGCACGTTGGTTTTCACATGATTAAAATATATAAGCAACCGAATTGGCTGTATTGAAAGCTGCCATTGTTAAAAATTTCATCTTGATCGGTTATAAGTAAGTTAAAGGTCCGGAAAAGTAATATATAAGAATAAATACTTCAGCATCGGCCTGGAATCGAACCCATGCCCCCGCGTGACAGCTACAACGATTAGGTTACAATAGATTAGAGCTTTACACGAATGACGGCGGCTATCTTAATAGATATGGATATGGATGTATGTATATGGAAACGCATGGAACATCTCATCGTGGACGCATCAAAGAACTGTCTTGAAAATATGGTACGGGTTTTAAGTTTTATTTTTAATGAAAAATACAGTTTATACATAAATTTCGTCCGTCTGAGGGTTTGAGATCTTAACACTCGGACCTCGAAGAAGGCCGTGGTTTTTATGTGTCATATATCGGGTGATCAAAAAGAACTGCAGACAGTTTAAATTGGACGCTTTAAGTTTTTAATGTTTTTTACTTAAGGAATTGGCAAACATGTTTAGAAGGTAGTTTATTTATGTATTAGTGATTAAATTGATCCACCACTGCTTTTACATAAATGACTTTTGGTATGTTACCAACGTTATACATGTTTAGTTTTACGGAAAATTCAAACTGTCCGCACTACTTTTTGATCACCCGGTATTTCAAGACGTAGTGTGGGACAAAAGAATAAAGTCGAACAGGTCCCCGTTTCTACATCCCAGGTAAGATATTTCAACGAAATATTAACACAGATACGTCTCATAAAAATCATATTCACGCATGTGCAGTAGTAACATTCCTATTTATTGAGCAATTTTTATGAAATTTAAACGTTGCAAGAAATATGAATTTTTGATTGGACTCTTGCATCTTCAAATTTTTAGAAAAAAATTGACATTACAAAAACTAAAAAGTGTTTCTAATTTAAAAAAACAAGATGGCGCCACTTCCGGTACTTACGGAAGCGGCGCCATCTTGAAATTATTTTATTTCAATTCGCAATAGTCGATTATGTAACCCAAAGTTCAAGTTTCTATTTCACCGGCAAGTTTAAGATCTTCTAACTAACGGGCTACACACGGGAATCTCTCTGTATATCTCGGCAAATTACGTACCTAAGTAAGTTACGTAATAATAAGGCAGCATTGAGTTGATTTTATTTCATAAAAGTTACTAAGGGAAGTTATAAGAGTGGGGGAAACGCGTCATTATTGGCAGTGGTGTAATAAAACAAAACTGACATCGTCTCTTCTGTTTTATGATAAGTTAAGTCGACATAACTGACCAGCGCAAAGGAAGTAATATGATGACGGCTTCCGTCGCGTGTTATGCCATTTCCCACCATCGTTAATATTCTCTCCTCTTATTTTTTACTCGTAACATAAAACAAATGAGTAACGAAAATGCATTGGTTTTTTAAAAAAATTGTAATGTGCCCTTTCATTAGGCTCTTTTCATAGATATTTTTCTGTTTTGGATGACGTACCTTTATACAAGAAACAATTTTTCAAAAATATTTCAAAGATCTCTTACATTAAAATAAAACAAATGAACGTGTACGTTTCTTGAAGACAATATTCGCCTACCCTAACGAAAAGATTGAAAACAATGTTTGAGCAGTCTGGGAGAAATTGTTCCGATTCTTGTATTCACTGCACTAATTCGTCTAGATTCTGAGGTGGGTTTCATTTTAAATATTCCCATACGAAGGGTTGGGGAGGCCGAAATAGCTTAATAAAAGGTTGCATTATAGTATAGGCGCTTTCTTTCGGCTACTTCGCGTATCATGATTTCAAAATCGTGATTCGTAGGATCACGTTTTACGAAAGAACGCGCGAATTTAAATCAAAGTATGGTTAAGTACATATTTGCACTCGAATTACGTATTTTTTTATTGGATTATGAAAATAACTTAAATACAAGTGGAAGTACTTGCACGATTATGCTCCTCTTCAGGTATAAATATTGACTAACCTAACAATTGAGCAAAAATGTCCTTGCATTTATAGGTTAGGAATTCGGGATCATAAAACTTTTATGTTCAGTTTGTTCACGATTTTAGCAATCATGATTATAAGATCACACTTCGAAAGAACGTGATTTGACAATCCAAACGCGTTTGGATCACCGAAAGAAAGCGCTTATTAGCATGCTATCTATATTTATCGATGTTTTCTTCCTTGTTAGATGATTAATGGGGAGACTTCACAAGTAGACAAGTCTCGTCCAGACAATTCATATTGCCTTGGTTGGCACTTTCCTCCGACAAAGCGTTTTCGAGATATTCGCTCGTAAAGTTTTGACATCACCAATAGATATATTTCTTCCAGACATTCCAATCATCCTTTATGACTACCATCTTCCCACAATCTGTTGTTGAGATATAAAGAATTATTTATATCCGAGCACGATAAGGAGCTATGGTTGCTAGAAATTAATTCCTTTCGTTGAAACCTTTCATTAGAGTACCACAAAGGATAAAACGAGTTCAACACCCCCCCCCCCCTCCCTGATAGGAGTCAGAAAGTTAGAGCGGTAGTTGGTAGAAAACGATGTCTACATATTTCTTTTGAAATAATGTTACTATAAATGTCTAAAAAAACAGTAGTTAATTTCTACCCTCCTTCCTCCTCCAGGTCACGTACTGATTTTGAAGAGAAGTAGCGCAGGAAAGTTATAGTTTGTACAATTTTCGGTGAGACCTTTCATTAGAAAACCCTGAAAGGTAGAACATGTGTTCACCCCCCACCTAATCTCAATTTTCAAAAGATGAAAAATCTGACACCAATTGGTTGTCGCATGTAAAAGTTATGTCCGTTTTACTTTTAGCAAATAATTCATACCCCCCCCCCCCCTTGACAGCGAAATTTGATGGTCGTCTAGCACTCCTTCAAGGTATAAGCTACGTATTGTAAAAAATTGCAGGTCTAGGACCATTCCCCTAAAAGTAGTTTAAAACCGCAGAAGCGGGCCCGAATGGACTTACGGACGGACGGACGGACGGGCGGACAAAACGCAAACAATAGCACATTTGTTTAATTCTTAAAAAATGTGAACTGTGTACCTAAGGATAGGTACCTTTTATTTGGATATTTCAATTCCCGGACAAGTAATGTAAGTAGTCTTCATTTTAGTCTTTTTGTAATAATTGTTTGTGTTTTTGTACCATTTTCCTGTTGTTTGTTAAGATTAAATCGCACTTTTGTAATTTTCACATCAATTTTCCGTGTGTTTCATTCTAACGACTTCATTAATAATTCAACTGTGTTTTTGTTGAATGCTTGCCCAAGGTCCATTTTAATTATTCAACATTTTGAAGTTCAGTATGGAGTTTAAGGTATTTGGTCTGAACCACTATCTGTTAGAAGTTAACTGAGAGCAGAGTCGAATCTTTCCTCTGTGCTGAGGAGAAGTTGTGTGTCATGATAATAAATAAAAGGGAAAGAGCTAGCTAGGTTTTTGTTTTGGTGTTTTGTGTACGGTCTTTCTGGCCTACGGATCAGTACACCCAGTAATATTTATACGTTTTCCACCGATCTTTTGGTATCGTACTTTTTAGATATACCTAATTATGGTCAAAATGCGGCCTTTAATGCGGTACCAAAGTGTTACGTAGAAGTTTAAAATAGTTCCAATGTTCCGGACTTTCCGGACTCTTAAAGCCTTTTCTCTTAATTTGTGTATACGTTTGATATTTTTGATTAAACAAAGGACATGTCTTTAATAATACATAATACAGAAACAAGATTATAGTATAAGAAATTTAACTCGGAACCAATATCTGCAAAAGTGGCCATGTTGTTACAAGGGATTGAAACGACCAACGAGCCTTATAAATAAAATCTTTAAAACTATTTTGATTATTACTTATTAGATCACATCTGCAAATACCATTTCTAGCGCATTTTGCAAATTTATTTGTAAAAATAAGGTACCTTTTGGAGTCAAAACTTCAAGCCAGAATTGCGGGTGAGAAATTGTACGTCAATTTTAGAACACCCGGTATATAAGCATTCATAGTAAATTATCTCGATTTTTATCTAAAGATAATTTCCTTTTTTATCTTTATCTAGATATTACAAGAGCATTTTAATCTTTATCTTATCTAGATTAAGCAAATTTTTAATTTAGATGAATTTTGACATTTTCTTTGAACAACACTGATGGTGGAGTCAAAACTTCAAACGTGAATTGCGAGTGAACGGAACGTCGTAAGTGGGTACCGACAAAGGAAATGTGCTTGCCCCCGACAAGATCTTACTGATGATGGACCCAAAACTTTAAACGCGAATTGTGAGTGAACGAGACGTCGAAAGCGAGTACCTACAAAATTGATGTGGTAGCCTTGAAACAAGATCTTGTTGATGGCGGTCAAACTGGCCTAAGTATGAAATTCTAAAAATGCTATTTTGGTATATTTACGTCATTTGTTGTAATTTAGGTAAATATATGCAAAATAACAGCGGACCTAGGGGAACACCCCGAGCTACACCAAGCATAATTTGTTACTTTGGATGTTTGAACATACCTAGGTACTGAAATCGGTTGGCATGATCATTCATAAGGTAAGATCTAATAGTAAACCCAGTCGCGAATAAATATTTCCGTTCTCGCGTTGATAATAGTCTTATACTATATGATCAAAACTGAGTTGCTGTCGAGTCACCTTTGGAATTTTTGTTTACCTGGGAAATCGTACTTCGAAAGGCGACTCGCCAACAACTAATTTTTGATCGCCCGCTATTACCTGAAGAAAATTTATTGGCAGAACTCAAAATTTGAAACTGTGGAGTTGTAAAAATCTATTAGAGATAACTCTCGATCCTATTGTTTTATTCAGCAATAAGTATCTAAATCGGTATTCATGTAATTACCGATTTCCTTCGGAAGAAGTCAAAATGTATAGATGCTTAGATACAGAAAATTATGGAATAGAAGTGTCTAGTTTACTAAATAACACTATACTGAAATGTATTTAAATTGTTTGTTATTATACCGATTTGTTTTGTTTTGCCAGTTGCACATAATTGTGTGCTAATTATTTGATACTATATGCGATCAAAAATGAGTTGTTGTCGAGTACCTAACCTTTGGAATTGTTGTTTGCATGGGAAATCGTATTTAACGTTCCAAAGGCGACTCGACAGCAACTCATTTTTGATCGCCCGTTACCTATTGATATCGATATCATAAACAGGTACCGAATGTTGTGCAAATTTTGTGCTGTTATACCTTAGGAGTTAGGTACCTGCCTAACAACTTCTACAATATGTTCATTGGTGATTAACAGTTATATCATTTCCAAAATACATATATTTAGTGATTTGGTTATAATATAAGTAAGTACATTCTGTACTTAATCACAATTATTTAACATGCCGCATATGTTTTTCGATATGTAAGTAAGTACAACATACATTTATGTTACGAATTAAAAACAGATGAAACAATATAGCATGCTTTCTTATTGGTTATTTATAATGCGGGTATAATTTAAACAAATCCTATTTGGTTAACAACGGCAATTTTTGTCATATCGTGGGCAAATGGTCAATTTTATTCGTACGCTGTTGATTCGACTGCTTATATGGGCTAACTTGTTTTACGTCGGTCAGTTGTGGCAGGCACATGCTGGTACTAGACGTCTAAAAAGTAAAGGGTTAGTGGGTACCGAAAATGGAAACTTCGTACTCGTGATTTGTCCCGACTGTTTTTCTCAAAATTTTGTTCTTCAATTTCATCGACCTTAAAGTGAAAATTTTCAAAATACTGATGAGTCAATAATTGATCGCACGTCCATCGTTTTGCTGGATCCTTATCTAGACATTTCTAAAAAAAAATTAATATAGGTAAATATATATAATAGAAACGGGTTTGCATAATTCACTTACTCTTAAGAAATCTAAGATGGTTGGGCTGGAGTGGGGCAGTTTGACTTCCAGCGGTGCCAGTTGCTGAGGTACTGGTAGACTGACACCTTGAAAAAAGTCGTTCGTTTTAAAAACGTGCATATGCCTAGCTAGTAAATCTCCAATTGTGCATCGGATTAAATATAATTGATCTACGTCGGATTTTCCTGGCCATAAGGCTTCGCCCTTCGTCAACTCCGCCAGAACACAGCCTGTAAGTCTACGATGGAAACCTCATTCAGATAATTACTCCCTCACCAATTGCCCATACGTCGACGGGCGTACCGTACTGAGTATCTCCAACAAGCAGCTCAGGAGATCTATACCACCTTGTGGCCACGTAATCTGTATAATTCTCCCCGGGACCTAATGAATTCCCATTGAACTAATAATTATGATACCATTTTCCGTGCGCAACTTACTCAGCATTCTCGCGAAACCAAAATCGCAAAGTTTAACGACGCCATTCGCTGTAAGTAAAATGTTCTCCGGTTTTATATCTCTATGTATGCATCCGTGGTGGTGACAATACGCCACCGCCTGCAAGGTTTGCCAAACGATTTGTTGCGTAACCAAATCCGGACATCCCCTCGGGTACCTTTCGAGTTCGTTCAGTACGGTCTTCTCGCAAAATTCGAACACTAAATGCAACCTTCGCTTTCGCCTGAATACCTCTAGAAGATTTATTAAGTTAACGTGCTTCAAATTCTGAAAAGGAAGCTTCAAAAGTATTTCCAGAATTAGCGACGGTGCGTACCTTTAAGAGCCTTATTTCTCTAAGTGCAATTTTTCTAATTAGTGGATCATCTTCGCTTTCAGCGAACTTTTTAATCGCCACAATTTCGCCTGTGTCTCTATTTCTGCACTTGTACACTAGCCCATAGCTGCCTTCACCCAACTTACACAATTTCTCATAACGTTCCATAATTCTGGACGGCGTTCGGGACCTGAAATCGCAAGTGATATAATTTTGCATTTTGCTGAGCAGTGGTGGTGTGACACTATCAAACACATCACAGGGAGAAGCGGTGAGAGAGTCGAAGGTGTACTGTGTCGAAGAAAAGTGTAATACGGACAATATAGCTACCATAGGTAGCTTTACCTCTATCTTTTTACCACATTGCCTCCCTTTCCAGGCAGTTTATCGTTTTTACTGGAATTTCGTATTACTGCGACTAATGCAACAATAATTACAAAATGTTTTGATATTACAAAATCCGCTATTAAGATATTTATTCTATTGTATCCTGTAGGAAACCTCGTACCATAGTATGTTCTGTATCCTCTTTGCCGCCCTTTCTATTGGAATACTCTTCATACTATTGCCGAAAATGACACGCTGACAATTTTTACTCTTTGACAAACCGATTTTGGACATTTAACACGTCTAATTATCTTGACAGTGTCAAAATATGATAGAAAGGGGGTTGTGTTGTGCCGGATCTCGGCAATCAAAGCAATATTAGGATCATATCTGTCCTGTGTTAAGTCCTGCACTTCTTGCCTAGGCATCTAGGGAAGTGGCATCTCTACTCTTTAGGTATAGGCCTGGGTATAGGTTTTTGTTTGCAGCGTTAAGGTTGGGTTCTTTCTAAGACGCTATATGCCACTATTCCTTCTTCAATCTCGCACAGTCCGCTATAGTAAAAAGAACACGTGGGTGTAGGCGATAATTTAATTTGATTTTCGTAGTAAAGGTAGATTTAAGGGTGGTTCCTTGGGGTTTAGGGTCTGGAGTTGAATTTCTTTGGGGTTGTTCGTTTTTGTTTTGGGGTAATGCAAGATGGAACAGGTGGCCTCAGGCTTTCCTAAATTTTTTCGATTTTTGTGTGTTCAGGATAATGGTCCTGACCAGTTAAATGCGTATGAAAGCTTGAGGTACCAGGAAGTCGTGGGAGCCTAGTACGCAGCGCGTTTTCTGCTGAATCTGTGTGAACATGGTCATATCTATCAAGGGATCCCGCTTACTACAAACAATGAGTTTTACTTATGGCAAAGGTTGTACGTGGTTTTGCTAAATTCGCGTTGAACCACCAGCGAGATTAAAATGAACCACCTTTAATTTACCTGAATTTTATATTCTTGTGTTAATCGTTTTCGTGCATATAAGTGAAACGGTGTCAAACACCTGAAAATATTACTTGCAGAGAAGTATGTAACATGTGGTCTCTTTAGGATTTAAAGATTTCTTGTTAAATTTACAAAGTGGCCGTTATAGGATAGTTTATAGGATTACTGCTGTATAATAAAAGAAAACAGAACTAATCGGGTAGGAGAGCTGATTCTTACTCAAACTTTCGAAGAGAATCTATGCAGATCGAGCGCTGCATTTTCTCGATCGCGCATTGACTTTTAGCGAGACCGAGGGCATCTTCCGTAACGTGAGCGCGGAAGTTTGTAGATCACGCAAAACGAAATTCTTTGTCAAGCTTTCAATGCAGAAAATCTTGTGAGTGGTGTCGGTACCCTTTTTTTTTGAGATCGTGCAAAATTTTATTGTTAATTAAAAGTTCGAACCAGAAGCCGTATTTATTTATTTATTTATTATCCCTCTCTTGTTCTGGGCCCTCAACAGGCTTGCGCCCAATTACAGAGTGACCCGCATAATGCTTTTTAGAGGTGCCTCTGCAGAAGGTCTTAAGTTGTTCTATACTACTCCGGTATTTACCTTACGAATTAGGAAAACTGCAGGAAAACCTAATTCGGAATAGCCGGTAGAATGCTCGAAACTGGTCTAAGGTAATTTCCATCTCTGCCACAGATGAAGAATTCACCTCAACCCAGGTTCGAACACCCTACCTCCGGATTTGTAATTCAACGCTCTACCATTGAGCCATAATGCCGGTTAAATCACCACAGTACCTATATGAGAATGCGCAACAGAAGATTGTGCCACCATTTTTGACGAATTTATGGTCGTCGGTACATTCGGCAACAAGAAAACTTCATCGTGTGCGAAAACTAATCATGGACGGCGGATTTAGGTTCGTGAATCTTTGCGGGTCATTGCACGTTCGGATTAAAGTGTTTGCATCTAAGTAAATTGTGACCACGAAAGAGTTGGAGTTCAAGGTTCAAACATTTCGTTGCAATTTGGAGTGACTCGTTATATTAAAAAACCAGTTTATTAATAGACCTAATTTGTTTATACTAGGTGCTAATAACATTATAAATAAAACAACAACCGGTAAAAAGTTTAATAACAATTAATACATGCTTTGTTACCTGTCTGAACCCGAAGTTAATAGGGTGATATGGACATTTCCATACTGCGGTAGGTTGTACATTGGTAACTATCCCACTAAATATATCAAATTTCAACTAATAAATTGTGGGGAAACTATATTACGGTTCAAATTCGTCAATCATCTTGCGAGATTCACTTTTAACGCGTCGTAACGAGGCACCCTTTCGCCTTGAAGTTCATATCCGAAGTTATTACCACACCGTATATTTGTGGAATCGGCAGCTTTGCCGAACACCTGGTATCTAGAAAGGTTTTAAGTTTGGCGCTTCGTTAAATCGTTACTAAGGAGTTTCTGAATTTATTTATTTGCTCTAGGAGAAGAGGAGTGAGTTTTTTATGTTTTCATTTTGTTTAATGGTTTGTTTTACCGCCAATAACGCAGGTAAGTTTAGTAGTGAAACCGTAACCTAGTTATATCCGTAGAAATTTCGTGAAAAACAGACTAAGAATTGTTTTTTTACGGGGTTATCAAATGTTCGCGATTGTTTTAAATATTTTTTTAAGAGCTATTATCAACGTTTTCATTAGGTGTATAACTTATTTTCCCGAAAAACAACTATTTAGAATTGGTACCGCAAGAAGTACCCGCAGCGCCTTAATTAATATGATCTGAGGCTGCAGACGGTCGATTTTAGCATACTCAGATAATAGGGCAAAATGGAACTCCATCGGTTATACTTTTGATCTTTCTCGTTCAGTGGATTTCGAGCTAGCCCCCCTACTATTTTTTTCACCTATACCAACCAGCTGCATATTTCATGTTCTCGTAGAGAAATTGAATGCTCTTTTCAAATATTAAAAAAAAATAGGCATTTCGGGTTAAACCGGGTGTGATACCGGAAGTTTCAATATGCGATCAGATAGATCGTAATGTCACACATAAAATTATATTTAACTAATTTTTCGTATCTCTCCAAATAAGAGAAATATTGAGGTGACCCTATTGTCTGAAATGCACTGTATACCTCTGCATACGGAACATGGACATAAGTACATCTAGCGATAAAACTCACCTAATTCTCTTTGGACCTGAGCATTGCGTTTATTCCATTTTCAGCCGTCTGATGAAGCAGAAATGTAGGTTTTCTATTGGTTTTTAGGACACGCTAGTCGAGGTCGTTCAGAAAATAGGTGCCGTTTTCGGATTTTCTATAGGACGAGATTCAAATAGCGAAGGAAGTGGGAGAGCAGGCATTCCAAACTGATTTTCGAACAAAAACGCTATTATTGACATTAAAAAACATTGAGATAAAGAATTTTTTTCGGATTTCTAACAGTAACGACTGGTTAAAAGTATATGTTCACCCTACGAGTAAAAAATAAGAGGAGGGTATATAACGGTGGCGGGAAATAGCATAGCACGCGACGTACGTCGCCATCATATTGCTTCTTTTCCGCTGGCCAGTTTTCTTTTATTACAACGTTGCCAATGATGACGCGTTTCCCTTCACTCTTATAACTTCCTTTTTATCCATTTCCGTCTGCCCTTTTAATGCAAGGTTCTCTCCTTCTAAAACGTACAGTGATAAAAATAAATAAATAAATAAATTAGGCCGACATAAGAGACATACATACATGTAGTCATTTTTATTTTATGGATAAGTTTTTTTTAACGTAACTTACCGCTATAAATATAGTGCAACGAAATGTTTTGCACCTTGGACCCCAACGCCAAATGGCGGCACAATTTCTCTAGTAATTCAGTAATTACTTTCAACTTTCGCACTTATAACGTACGATACCCCGGCTAATGCTTCTTTCGTGTCCTTCGATGATACGAACTCGTGTTGGCTTTTAAATTAATACAAACTTTACGCCATGAAAAAAATGTAGCACTATGGGTTACAAAGATCGCTTGGTGAAGAATACCGCTCTTCCACCAAATTGTTCATAGTCTATTCACCGATCTAAAAAACCGACCCCCCCCCCCTCCACCCCTGAGAATCGGACTTTTGCATTTTTTTTCAGGGGTAGATATAGTGAAAAATACCCCTCTAGCGTTTCGACTCTTATCCGCTTGAACACTCGTTTCTTACCTTAACGTGCTTTATTTTCGCGAAGATAAGTTGTGTTCTCTTTCTTTATGAGACGGTACATGTATAAAACTTCCTATACCGGCAAACTTGTAGATTTAATTAAAGAAATCTTCAACGCCTAAAGTGGCCACCTGTTACAAAGGTGGGCTTTCTATTCCTGTGCATAAACAAAACCTGAAGTGTTATTTTCGAGAGTGTGAGGTCGGTTTGCTCACATTCGCAATTCGTACGAACATTTTTTGTTCTCTTGAAGTTCTCCATTCAACGCGTAATTAACCTTACCAGGGCGGTGCAGGAAGTCCAGCTGTGTGATCTCGAAGCGATCTGATTCCATATTTCTAATTGATCCTGTTTTTTCCCAAGGAGAGATAAGATCAATTGTTACCAGAAGAGAAACGTACATCACGTATTGACGTGTAAGTTATTGACTGTAAGCATAGAGCTGTAAGTTATTTTATTGTCTAAAGTGTGGTCGATTATTTTTAGGAATTCGTATATTTTGTATAAAGTAATTTCAATACTCCTAAAGGAATCGACCTATAAAAATCATTTGCATGAAACAGATTTGTATTGAATTTCTTAATAATAATGAGATCCAAACAAAGGATTTTGCTTGAACCTATGGGGAAGTCTAATTTTCTTATAACTATTACAAAGGATTTTAGTTAGGTATTTTATTTCATTAATTGGGAATTTACATTTAATTTTGTTCGTGGTCAAAGGTATTTTTAGTAGCGGTCTAACTTCATTTGACAATATTTCTGCAGAGGTACTTTCCCGCATGGTGTTTTGGTCTGTTGAGGCGGACGATCTTAAAGAAGCTGTAAAGATGGCGTTCACAGTATTTACTAAACGTTAGGAAATGATAATACGAGTATATTAACTAATGTCACAATTTTTTATTAAGGAAAGCACTTTTGAACAGTAAACTTCTTGAGCAAAAACTAAGCTAATTATTGCATGAAGTGTTGTTGAAGAACTTCGCTACTGCTGTTATGACTTATATGACCACTTGTGGAATTAATCGAATGAAACCTTTCGTGCAGCTCTTTGACAATTAAAATAATTTTCAAATAATTTGCGCTACAACCTGTTGATTTTCCGCGGTCCCCTAGACTATGACGCATATAACGTGCGTACGTAGAAGACAAACTGAATTTGGTAACTGTTATACAATAGCGCATAAAAAAATTGATCTGTCCCTAAGACCCGTATTAATTGATGATATTTTTACTTTCGCAGAACATGCAATCTGGAAGATGTGGTCACGTTCAACCGCAAACACGCGAATTAAATAAATAATTATTAGCGTAGTGATATACAGTAGGTTTACGTATTATTGATACCTTGGTATAATTGAGTAAATGAATATTAATTATGTAACGACAAAATGTCGATAACTTTAAGTTTATACCAAACTATGGATGTTGGCGCAGGTAATATAGACTCTGATGATGGATATAAATAAAATTCCTCGTGACAATTTAATGTGCCATTGAACAAATATTAGGAAGTTTAATATTTTAGGGTAGGTGGAATCGATTCAGATGACCTTGCGTTCTGTAAAGGTTAAGGTAGGTAACTAGATGAATATTTAAAATTTTGGAGCGGTGTATGTGTGTATATAGGGTAGGTACTTATGAACGAGCAAAGCGCAAATTTCACAACTCGTGCGAAAATAGAAATTATCTTACCCTTTAGAACTGGACGATTTAAATAGAAATTGTAGCATGTTTATTCGGTGGCACATTAACAGCTATTGATCAGTAGGTATTACCTATACCTGTGTGCGTTAATGAACATTTTCGATTGCTTACGCCATAGGTAACTGTACCGCACGTCTTCCGCCACCAGCTGACTGATACACATTAATCATGTAAATATTTAATAGGTCTGATATTATCTTCCGTAAATGTTTTGGTCACGAAAACCAATAAAAAAACTCATTTAAATGCAATATATCGCTTTATGAGTTGATATGCTTATTGTAGACTATAAAGCCACAGATAACGTACCTTCTTGGCAAAAGGTGGAGATGGTTTCCGAATAACCACAGTTTACTTCCGCTAAACCATTTCTCCATCCGCCTTTTTCACTATGTAAAGTTAAACTGCACAGGTTAGTTGCGTGTTTATATACATTGTAACCCATGGCAACCAATCGCCATTTTGTAAAGTGGTCTCCGGTATCATGCAAATATCTCATTACGTAAGCCTATGTGGCGCCGCATCAATCTACATTTATTATTTTTAGGGCTAGTTCAAAACGTCATCCAGAATTAGGGTCGAATGATCCTCCTGAGTAGCACATGAAGTAATGCAGTCGATTTTTTTCCGGAACCATAGGTATCCTTTTGCTACAGATTACCTTTTTTGCTTACGTAGAGAAACGAAGAAAATATTTTACCATCCAAATCTGCAAATTCGATTTTTCAAACTTGACTTTTTGAAGGAGAAACTGGTTTTACCAAATTATAGTGATACGTGTTTTTTTGCAACTGTGACAGCTGTTATTCCATACAAAGATGACAAACAATTTATAAATTGTGCTAACTCTTGTGCAGATTTCCAAACCGAAGTAGCTTAGTAAATTATTGTTGGGATTCAGTTGGGTTATAAGGTAGTAACATATCCTGTACTAATCGATGTTTACCTACCTTATTGGGAGATTATGGGGAGGGTGATCTTTACACATAAATATTTAAAAGCCGCCTGGCATACATTCAAAGTCTACCCTATATCCTATATCATGCAAGACGAATCAAGTCCTTTGAGAAATTCTCGGCAATATTGCATTTTCCCTTCACAATATGAAGTTTTCACATAGCCAGTAGAAGTGTCTCGCCTATCTTTCCACATCTTGAGAGTACCCTCCTCCGACACTCTGTTCTGCAGATATTTTCACTGAAATTGTTGACATCATCAATATATGTGAATGTCTCGTCCAGACGTTCGACCCTTTGTGGGTACCCTCTTCCGATACTTCATTTGCAAGATATTCGCTTCATCCCATGAAACATAAAATCAATTTAGGTACTGATCTCGAAAAGGAAGTCGTGTAGGAAAGTTATAGCATGTAGAAACCAATTCATTTGGGTGAGACCTTTCATTAGAATACATGATGGGTAGAACCTGTGTTCGCCCCCCCCCCCCACATATTGTACGCAAAATCTCGGACCAAATGGTTGTCGCCCGCTTCCGTTTTACTTATGAGTGTAAAATAATACATGATTGCGGCGAAGGATATACATAGCTGTTCGGCCAATAAGAAATATATGTAGCCACGTATCTTTAAGATCTGCCAGTAGAGTACCTACATACAAAGTACATAATTATTTAATCGACTTCACTATGGGAGCAGTTAATGTAAATTGTGTGCAGATTCTCGAATAGGTCAGATGCAACTTGCCATTCTTGGATACTGGCAACGTCAATTCACAAAAGTTAGTCACGAGAGGTAATTTTGGGCTGATTGGTGGAAAGGATTGCGTCAAGGGATGGGTGTCAATTTAAACAAGTATAGATTGTGCACAACTCTTGTGCAGATAAGGCGCATTTTTTGACCGAAATAGCTTTTGTTTTGACATCACCAATGGATAAATTTCTTGCAGATGTCTTAATCGCCCTTTGTGAGTACCCTCTTCCGACAATCCGTTCTTGAGATATAAGGGAATATACCCAATCACGACAAGAGGTCGAGGAGGAAGACTATGGTTGGTAGAAACTTCCTTTCGTTGAGACCTTTCATTAGAGTACCATGAAAGATAAAACTAGTTCCACTCCCCCCCCTCACCCCCCATCCCGTACTTTGATAAGAGAACAGAAAGAAGGACAGTAGTTGGTAGAAAACGGTTCCTTTCGTTGAGACCTTTAATTAGAATGCAATGAGATATAAAATTAATTTTTAACCCCCCCACCTGTAAAGTATAAAGTACCGTGAGGTGCAATTATTTTGTGTTAGAGAATTGCCGTTGGCAGAAGAGAGTTGGATCAAACGCCTGAAAATTAGAACAGGGTGGTTATATATTTTGGAGTGACACTTTAATAATCATAATCGAACGTGTATTCTTGTCAGAGAAATTTCGTGCGAATACGTTACCGAACAACTGCATAAATCTTAACCCTGCGAATTAATGTTTTGGTGGCCCTCAAGTACAAAGGATAATATGCGAATTAGAAACTATTACAATAAATACGAACAATAGCGGAAGATTTAAACGAAATTAAATTCTGTAACCCTAACAACTAAATAAGAATGGACTTATTTTTTGCTCACGTGTGAAGCGGTAAGTAAATTTGCGGGTTTCCTAGTTTCCGTAACTTGAACTGCCAATCAAAGATGCCATTCGATATTCATTATACGAGACCTAAGAATTTGTATCGATTTTCCTGTTCAACAGTTGATCAATCAGTATTACGACATTGGTACTAAAAATGAATTACGCCAGTAATTAACTTATTTATTAAAGGAAGAACGCCAAGAGAATTGTCACAACGCTTTATACCAACCACTGTGACCCAGCTCTTTTTTCGCCTGTCCGCCGCACTTGACCGGTTATTCCCGCCGTTTTTGATCCCCCGTGCAACATTCGGTCTTCCCGAAACTGTTAATGTCTTATCTAGCAGACTAACTCAAGATCCTATCGATCTCTGCGACTCAACTCGGCCGGAGGATTTGCCGAGTGAATAGTGTTATTTATGACCAAAATTATTTCGCGAGATGTTCGTCCCACGTGTTTTCCGCCTGGACATCTTGTTGTACACACCTCAACTATGGTTCTATTTTGCCTTTCCACCTGGTTCTGCACGTTCCTATAAAGTCTTTCTCCGCCGTAAACTTCTTGAACAGCTACTCGTAAACGCCAGACCTTGATCACTGGCTATTCGCCGTGGGTACCTATTCAAAATCTCCAAACATTTCTTTCAACTTTACAACTTTACTGACTGACTTCGTTATGCAATGGTTAATCGTAACGTCTTGGTCGGTTTCGCCAGTACACGTTTGGTGCATCCGTCTATCAACATTAATATGTAGCTACATATACTCCTTGGTACTCTTAACGAAATGTTCTAACCTAAGTGACTAATGTGGATCGCATCCTTAGCCCTACCCAGAACTATCCTCTGCAAATGCACAATTCAAACACAATCGCACATATTTAGGTACAGTAGGTATAAATATTACTTTAATTTACCATCCAGCTTTAGCTACATCCAGGCAATCACGCGACTGCGATTACATCGCAAAATCCCAGATCTTTCCATACAAGGAGAATTCCACTACGTTTATCACCAGAATAGTTTTCTTTATTTAAAATACGAGAAAAAATGCATATGAAACTGTTATAACAAATACAAATAAATAATTATTCATAGAAGACCGATTTGAATTGTTGCATCTATGCCCTTCACATATGCAAATAACCGTTGTAGCTTGATAATGTTCAGATGATTTTCCAACCATGCAACCTTCTCTTAACTCGTTACCCTTGTCATCAAGCACATCTGCACATCCACGGTGGGTTATAGCATATCCATGGTATTTGTACACAATTTTTACACAAAAAGCTAACCGTGACGCAGGGCACTGAAAGAGTAAACTGTGCTTTTGCTCAGGTGAAGCGAGCTTCAAGTATGAAGAATCACAAGTCGATTGACTCTGGCGACTGTCCCCTTCACATTGAAAACACACTAAATGCTCCATGTGTTCTATGTCCGGATCTGCATTAAAAATTGATTCAACAGCATATGTAGAAGTTATCTGTACTATAAATATGAAAACGATAATAACACTGTTCGCGCACATTTGTTAACTCTTATTTAATAATCAAATGGCATAAGTCATTTAAATGAAGTACACATTTTCTTGTTTCAGGTATATTGATTGTCGTTAAATGACGCTGTAGGAGGGCATCTGCATAAACTTTGTTATTAAAAAGTCTCTAACATTAATGGGGGTACACTTAAATAACGTATGGTATACACCGTAACGGAAAGATTCGTTGATATAAATCGGTGATGGTGGCCATTCCAAAAGTGCCTTCTCAAACTTTTCATACAGACTTGAATCAATAATCTTCCTAATACTTCTAGTGCCGCCAATCGCGTTTAAATAATTATTATAGCGATTAAAATAATCCCCATAAAACTCCAGTTGTTCCTTGTTAAAGGCGTTATACATTTCCAGGCAGTTCTCGACTTGAGTGCCCATGATGTTGCTTTGCGTTATGAACGATCCGGGTATAAACAACACGACTCTGACTCCATATTTCCGCAACTCAATGCGTAAGGCATCATTCCACCCTTTCAAAGCTGCTTTTGTAGCGCCGTATACTGACAGGCCAGGCAGTGATGCCAAGGCACAGTGACTCGATATATTTATTAATCGGGCTAAAAAATGTCAATTGTAGATTATTTTCAAAATAGACTGGCAGATAATGACACTATTTGAAAAACAATATTATTTCAACGATCTTTAAATCCCAACTACATATCCATCAAATTTTACAGATATTTATAGGTGAAAAATCATCATAAACCAAACGGTTCGGTGGGTGCAAAGGTGTTGAAAGGCGCGTGTGAACTTGTAACAAAAGGCTAGATGATTGAACAATTGACATGTAGAAGAATATTTAAATTGGAGATTTCTATTGCTCCCACTGCCAATTGCGAAAAATAAAAAAGCTACTGAACTTCACCAAGAGCTGTGTAGTGTTGATGGTGAAAACATTATGTCAAGGAAGGAAGGTTTCTCCTTGGCACCATCCGTTGAAGAGAGTACATCATTAAACGACGAACGAGGCCGCTGCCCTTCCACTTCCGGTCGTCGAAAAGTTTTCGTTATTTTCGACATTTCCAATTAACTACATACCAGATACCAAATTTCGTCGAAATCAGAATTTTTTTTCGCACCCCCAAGTAGGGGTGCGCCCTTCCGTCGTACGAATTTTGGAAAAAAAAGTTTCAAAATCGGATAGGGCATACCCGAAAACCTATTCAAAGACCCATCTTTGTAACTCTTATGGTTGCTAAGAAAAAAATTAAAGAAGAAATCCAAATTTCACCACTTCTTTGGGGGTGACTTACAAACGAAACACGTTGGACCCTCGGTTTATTTGGAAAAGTGCTTATCTGGATCCCCTCTCTATCACCCGATTTTTACATGCGGTCATGTAACACCCTGTATTTTATTGAAGAATTGGAAAGTACTTCAAACATTCTGCTACTCCGAATTTAAATATCAGAATTCAGATGGCATTTGTGATTATGAACATCTGATCTTCAATCGTGCAGCGTCTTTGCAGGTATTCGGGAATTCTGGAGAAGAAACTTTCTGTTTGGTAAATAAGCAATTTGAATCCTGTTTTAACATCACCCCCGAATTGATCACTAGCGATTTCCCTGTCGTGTGTGTATGAATGTGATACATCTACAATCTACCTGTTATAAAATTCAGGACAAGCGTTGAGTGAAATATTTCACTCAACGGTACAAGTGAGCAACGGTACAAGTGAGTCATAAATAATAATTATTGTCGATCAGATGTTTAAGGACTATTATAAATTCATTATCAATTAATTTTAAATAAAAAACACGTAATTAAATATACGTTACAGTCCTTTGCTTTTATGAGCTTGTGTACAGTTTGTATAATGGATCTTCGATTTGTTCTAAGAAACCGACAAGGAAACAGTGTTTTGTTTCAGTCAGTCGCTTAGCGATCCAAGATTTATGGTAACTTGACGCGTGTCTGTACTGATTTCATTTCATACCGATCGGCTTTTGTTGCCGATCAAAGAAGATCTATTATATACAAACTGTTAAGAAATGTAAAAGTATGATTGGGTTCAATTATATGATGATAGATAGTCCAATGTGTAGGGCATGTATCACCAAAGGTATCACTTCAATGTAGCGTAAAACAAAAAAATTGATTTGGCTAGCACACCATATATAATACCATAATACAACACAAATTATACTATGATAATACTCTTCCAGTCTTCCACTACGGCAATTTTCACATTTTTTGTAAGAGAATGAAACAGAGCTGTCCCATCCTCCCCTAAGTTACGCTAACTCTTTCGCGACTACCCTATCTTGTGGATACCAAAGTTTACCATTTCTTACTATTTGGTTTATGATGATTTGATGTATCCGCGCGCAAAATTATTGTGTCATTTATTTTCTGTTCCAGTCTAGCAAGTACCTGCTTACTTACCTTTGTGAGATCTCAGTAGCGGTAGAAAGGCTTTCGTTAGACGAAGTGTACCGTATAAATTAACATCGAGCTGCTTCTCAATAAGTTTGTCGGTTAGCCATTCAAATTCACCGAACACCATAACGCCAACATTATTAACCAAGGCCCAGAATTCTAAAATTTACATTACAGTACATCTTACAAACTGAAAACCTACTTACGATAATCGGGGTTGCTTTTTAACACTTTGGCCACAAAATCGAGTGCGACCTCAACACTTGTTGGCCTGGTGATATCCAGCTCGACGTGCGTAATTTTCTCGCCAAATAACGTTCGTAAAGTTTGCGCGCCTTTCGATTCCAAACTTAAACATCCCGCCAAAACGGTAAATCCCATATCGCAGGCGTGCTGCGCGAACGAAAACCCCAAGCCAGAATCACAACCCGTTATCAATATAACCTTCTTGCGGGACGGTTTCAGCATTTCTTTCGTTTGAAAGGTGAACAGTAGACAACCGACAGTTATTGTTGTTACCAGTAACGTTCTTAACGTTGCGTTAGTTTTTAATCCGTGGTTAACCAAAATAACGATGCCGGATACACCGCTACCGACGGCAATAAAGATTTCATTTACCACTTCGAAGGTAGTTAATGCCACCGTTGATAAAGAAAACGAAGACCCCATTCTTGCGTGAGCTTCTTTTACATAATTAATTTGTATGTAACACAAAATATCCACAAACCGATAACCTTTTTCGAGAAGCTGCTAGTGCGTAATGCGTTTCAGTTGTGCCTACATAGCGGGGGTGCATGTAAATTTACCCATGCAAGTTTTAAAATTTAAACTACGAATTTTATATGGATGAGGAGATTGTAATATATGTGACATTGACATATGGTGTTATATCAAATTTACATTTAAGGTTACAATTTTAAATCTGAAATTACGTCATATCCACATTAGTATACGGAGAGCTGTATTTTGGATGCTAAAATTTCCTTAAGCCCCGTTTACACACAAATAGCTTATGATAATAATACCTAATAATAACCATTTAATGTCCTACAGAAATACATCCCAATTACAGGACATATACGCGTTAATTGCCTGGTAAGTGCACACAAAGTAAATTAAATTAAATAAATTTCTAAAATAAAAATAACTAAAAATAATAACAATTCGTTTTAGAAAACATACTTTAAATTAGCACATGAAGAAGGGAAAAAGAAACTAAAGATTGTTCATTATATTTATACAGCGACGTCGGAAGTGAATAACGGTTGGGGGAGCAAAAATCAGCGACCATGGAGTCTGAAAGGTCCCTCCCATGCAAAATTGTGTACGAGTTAATGCAAAGCAGTGGCTTTTTTAAGTGACCCTGAAACATGTTTATTTAATCAATCAAATAATGTATTTCTGAAAGAAAAGTTTTGAAAAAAAATTAAAAAAGTGTCGGAGGATGTCTAGTTATATGCAAATGAGCATCTCAGAGACGCTTGACTCGATTGAGAAAACCATAGCCATACATCATTAATATTTTATTTAAAAAATAATGAAGAACTAGAACATACAAAAGTTACAAAAAAAATTTCCTATTTATTGCACTATATTGAGCATTGTAAAGAAAAGCAAGTATACAAAATTAAATATATCCAAAAATGTTCCGCTTTTCCGCAGTTTTGCTGGCAAATCTTTTCAATACGGGGTGTTTACGGTCTTCTCTGTATCATTTTAAGGGGCGGCAGTGCAGCTCAAAAGGAGTCGAAAAACCCCAAAACACCTTAGTAAAATTTATTTAATAAGCGAGATAACATTTGTTTTATTTTTTACATTAAACGATTAATCTGTGTACAAATCTAGCAATCTACTACTTAATCAACATTGTCCACTTAAATTATTTTTTACTAAAGTGTTTTGGGGTTTGTCGACTCCTTTTGAGCTGCACTTCCGCCACTTAAAACGATACAGGGAAGACCGTAAACACCCTGTATATCCTCTACTTCTACACTTTTTGTAATTTCTGCCTGCACATGCAGTAGAAGACGCTTTTGAGTGATTTATCTACTCATTCTTAGAGGGGGCGCGGCCCCCCTTGTGTAATAACTGAGGAAGCGACTCGCCCCCTCTGACCCATACTTTCGACGTCGCTGTATTTATAATATCAACGAGTCTATGAAATTGGATGTCGCCGAGAAAAGATAATTATTAAAAAGCCTAACCATATTAAACAAAGGAGAGTTGCGCAAAAGATCTGTGCGAGCAGCGGGAGTGTAAAATGTTGTGGAGTTTCTGGAAGTGTAAGATGGAACATGAAAAAATAAACAAGCTAGGCTAGAAAATCGGGACAGTCAACTAAATTGTGTAGAAGTATATATAAAAAAGTTACAGTAGATTGATTTCGTCGAACCTCTAGTGATTAAAAGTCGAATCTGGGGCATAATAAACTCTGATGAAATCCTCTTGGAGGATAGTTACGGTCCAGTCTATATACTAGAAACTTTAAAAATTTACGCTGAAGTAACTCTAGCTTATCTTTTTGGTTACGATGCAACGGGCTCCAAATGACAGCACAATATTCCAACTTTGTGCGAACTAACGAAAAGTACAGGCATTTTAGTGCTTCAATATTTGAAAACGATTTACAGCTCCGTAGAATAAAACCTAGCGTTGAAGTAGCAGATTTACAAATATTGTTGATATGATGGTTAAACGTGAACTCGCTGTCAAAGTAAACACCCAAATCTTTAATGATATCTGCTCTAGTAAGTATAGTAGAATTAACACTGTAATCAAATATATACGGTTTAAATTTGCGACTGAAAGTAACCACTTTGCACTTATTAATATTTAGAGATAAGCCGTTCATAACACACCAGTCACTAAGAACATCAAGTTGCCGTTGAACAAGCGCACAATCGGTCGTTGATGAAATAGATGCGTAGATTTTGAAATCGTCAGCAAAGAGTAAATTATTAGTAGGTAACCAGTCGTTTCGGTAAGTCGTTTATGAATAATAAAAACAGTAGGGGACCCAGATTCGACCCCTGAGGCACCCCAGAAGTAGCAGTAATGGCGAAGGAAGAATGATACAATTTATCTGCGCCGACAAGACATGTATAAACATCAAGTTGGAGCAATTATTAGAACCGAGTAACGACTGAGGACGGAGCTAAAAGACTGCCGTTGCTGACCATATATTTTCTCATACATATATATACCTACTATGTACGAGGGAGCATCTTTATGTAATCTACTTAGTCACGAAAACTATGACAAAACGCAATAATTTTTAACTGTCAAACGCTTCAGCGACAGATTTTTCTAATTCCGATAGAGGTTTGTACGTTTAAAAGTAGGCGATGTAAAACTTGATCAGAGAAGCATTATAAAATTGTTGACTAAAGAGCGTATAAGCCCAAAAATATCCACGAAGCACAGATTATCTGTAATCGAGGTTGATAGTCAGAGCACGTGGGCTAGTGAAAAGAACTTTACAGTGATCGTATAATTAGCCCCGCGGTATAACAATATTCTTACACCATGATTAGCCCTCAAGCAACCTTACAACCTAATTACATAATTAATTGTGATTATTGTTTAGTGATCCATTAAATCGATCCACCACTGCTTTCAAATAAATGACATTTGGTATTGTCACCAACTTTATAAATATTTAGTTTTGCGGGAAATTCAAACTGTCCGTAGTCATTTTGGATCACCTCTTACGTCATAAGGTTCGTAAAATTTCCGCAGCCCGTGCGCAATTTTTATACTCACCTGTAATACGCAAATTACAATCGAATTACGTATTACTAATACCTCCGTGGATTTGGAAATGAAAATAAGCCAAAACGACGTCTGTGTACAGTTTCGACATTTGTATTATAGATAATTCAGTTTCAAACCTACATGATCTATTCTAATTATTAACAAGCGATTTTATGATTTTGGACTTTCTGTTCGTTCGTCTGCAGACGTTATAACTCACTAACGGTTTCGTTTTTGGCAGTCAATGGTCAAAGGACTAATTGATTAAATTTTGGTCAATATTCGACAACCGGAAGTGACTTTGTCGCTCGTTGTTTATATTGGTGCGCATTACGCACGGGTGTGCGCAGAGTGTCGGTATTACAAATAATAGGTGTGTTAGGCCAGATTATACCAATATTTAACAACAGAAGGGGTTTCACAATACATCAAGTGGTAGGTACAAATCAAATTACAACACTTAATTAAGGAAGTAGGTAATATTTATAATACTTGATTTAATATATTAAAGTAACAATTTTTAATTCATAAACCTATACAATATATTACATAACGGACTAATGCATTCACCATTCACTTTAGACACTTTTCTTTTCATTTGGTGGAGTCTCCGTAGGAGCAGAACTTGAAAAAGTTTCAACTGTCTTGTTCTTCATATACCTGAGAGCCTGAAAATGAATATCTCTGTTAACAAATGATTTTTAATATTATTCATTGTTACTTATTACAACTTACTACAAAAAGGAAATACTTTAAACAATGCTAGAGCCTAAACAATGGCAATAGTCAACACTCGATGATTACATGAGGGACACATGGGTTATGTGGTCGTTAATGACATTGACATCAAAACATCCATTTAATACAGTTTTCTTTTCTTCATTTGGTTCAAACTAAATTGTATGACGACAAAGACCTATGCCATAATATCAAAGTGAAAATGAATGTAGAAGTGTGGTTCACGAGACACATTGGCCCGTATGAATAAAAGTAAGCAAATGCTTATACTTGCAAAATTCAAAGTAAATACTCGTAAGTGCTCCTTCGCACTGAGCGACTTAGCAGCGCTTCTAAGCAGAAGGACAGGAGGCAGTGCAGCGCTGCTAAACCATGCTAAACAGACCAGTATGAAGGAGCAGTTACGAGTATTTACTTTGAATTTTGCAAGTATAAGCATTTGCTTACTTTTATCCATACGGGCCATTATTATACCTTTAACTAAATACTTTGTACTACTAAGTACTACTGAAAATAAAAATTGTTAAATTACAATTTATACACACTGAAAATCCATCTGGGTTTCCGACTACTCACAAGCACAACAGGCATGTTTTTCCTTTCCGACTCTGACACCAAATAAGGAACATGTTGTATTCTATACCAAGTCCAATGAATTGCAACAATTAGAATTACACCAGCAACCAACGGTACTTTGTCGCTGAAATAATTACGTAATTTGGATAATACCATTATATTTGGGCCTATTTTCAAAATCAAACTGATTGATACAATAACATCAGAATGTAGTTGCTGTACCAACCACGGGAATATACAGTGTCATCCACAAGTTGAAATATCTTCAAAATTGAAACTGAACGGATATTTTTAGATTAAAGTTTAAAAAAAAGTAAGAGTAACTAATGAGTAATCACAATATTTATCCAATATATTTATCACCTAGCTAGTACTAATACCCAGAACATTTTTGGAACTTCTGGCGACGTAATCCCTTTCTTAACCTAAAAAAATTAACGTGTACTTTTGGTTTATTTACAGTTTTAGTTTTCATAAGAAATGGAAGATTTAAACTTAGAAGAAAATGATACTGAAAGAGTAAATTATCTAACTATTGCAATTTATACAAATTCAATACTTTTAGCAATCCGTTCGAGAGAAATTATCCACCATGAGTTTTGAAGAGCTTATCAAACTCAAAGAAGAGATTGGCGCAAAGGAGTACAATAATATTGTATTACCGCCAAATGAAAAATCGAAAGCCCCACGTTCATTCAAAAGAGAAAATAAAAATCGCCCGCGTGAGAGAAGTTCGAAGATACCTGTTAGTCGCCTACAAATGGAAAACACCAAAAAACCCAACTCCAGGGATCCAAGATTTGATCCACTGTGTGGAAATTACGATGAAAAGATCTTTAGGACAAATTACAAATTTGTCAAAGACATTCGGATGAAAGAACGCGAACAACTAGCAAAAGAGCTTAAAAAAGAAAAGGATCCCGATAAGAAACATAAAATTAAGCTACTGATACAAAGAATGGTAGGTGTTGCATACTGGTGCACTTGCTAAGTCATGTTTTAGGATAATCAAAATCGTGAGTATGACAAACGTGACAAGCAAAGAGAAACTCAAGAGGGAGAGCGTAAAGTAATAAGACAAACCTTAAGAAAAGGACAAAAACCAGTCTTTAAAAAGAAATGTGAGGCTTTTTTTATTAATATCTTAAGTAATATTTGTTTTCAGCTGAAAAACGATTGGAAAACCTAATTAGTAAATATGAGGATTTAAAAAGTACAAATAAGTTACAAAAACACATGGAGAAACGTTACAAAAAATTGGCACAAAAAGAAAGAAAAAATAAATAGTCTTAATTTAAACGTATTTATTCTATAACAAAAACTACAAATACACACAATCTGTGAACAATCTATCAACCTGTTCGCAACAGTTTTGCTTCTTTCTTTTCTTGTAATTCTTTTTTCTGTTGCTCTACAATTACTGCTCGCTCTTTTAAAAACTCTCCATATTCTTTCGCATCCAAATCCTTTACAACCTGCAGTCCCAAAGATCGAGCTATACCGCATAACATTAAACACACATATTCAAGAGTACGTATTTGTAAAGGAGGATCTTGTATCTTAATCTTTGCAATTTCGTAGATGTGTTTTAAAGATACCTTCCCTGACACTTCGTGACCTGATAAAGAAACTATAATAACCCAACATATGAGACGAAAAGTAACGAACCAACTTTCATAGCGCCTCGCTGTATACCTGCCGCTTGTTTTAGAAAGTATGTAGCTGGGGGCTTGTGAATCACTAGCTCATAACTACGATCTGGGTGGACGTATACACGTGTTGGTAATGGTATACCTTCCTTAATATCGCTAGTCCTTTCATTAAAGTCTTTACAAAAAGCGGCTATGTTGATGCCTCTCTACAATTAACAAGTTAAATTCGGAGAATATGGGATGTTTCTGTACTTGTCCGAGCATTGGACCGAGTGGAGGTCCGGCTGCAGCCAATCCTGCTGGAATATTGGTTTTCAGTATTCCATGTTGAACTTTTTCAACGACTTTCTTTGCTGTTTTTAATCGAGCAGTTTTAGACATATTGCCTTTATTTTAGTCTAATTCTGTTATTAAAATTACTTTATGAACATAACCTAAAATTAAACGAGTGTTGAACTATTCTGCTTTCGTAAGAACTACTATGCAGTGCATCTACTAAAAGTTTTAAGAACTACAAAGATTTCTATGATTTGAAACCCTTTGTATGTAAATGCGTAATTATACAGTGTAGGGCACTGTGAGAACATTCACCTCGCCCCTATAATTTTTGAACCGTTCGATAGATTACCATGAAATTTTGAACGATGCTACACGAGACCACTGACGAGACAAGTCTTACTTTTTTGAGTTGAAATAACTGACGTATGTCAACATTTACTGTCCCTCTCTTGTTCTGGGCCCTCAACACGCTTTCGCCCAATTACAGTGACCCGCATACCTAATGCTGGTTAGAAGTGCCCCTGCAGAAGAGGTCTTAAGTTATTCTGTACTACTCCGGTATTTACCTTACGAATTAGGAAAACTGCAGGAAAACCTAATTCAGAGAAGCCGGCAGAATACTTGAAACTGCTCTAAGGAAATTCCCATCTCTGCCACAGATGAAAAATTCTTACCTCGGCCCAGCGTCGAACACCCGACCTCCCGGCTATATAGCCCAACGCTTCAGAGAAAAAAAAACGTAGGTATAGTTGTTACAAGGTGTTTAATCGAACATTTTCAGATGAACTAAAAAGAGGGTCGCTAAGTAACAGACAATTTTCTTCTAAAATTGGTTCCAAAACGTTACCATAATTTGAAGGGCGCAAAGGAACATGTAATAGGGTTGCGTAACCATCATTGCTAAAGTTGTGTTGGTTAACTACACCGCGCCGATCTTCCAAACTCAATTCGTCAAGTAAATCCTGCCTAAAATGGACTTCTGTGCCTTCGTTTCCATTGACAACCGTCGGAATTTGTGAAAATGCACCTTCTTCTTCAATTTGAACATTCTCTTCCGGCTTCGACAATAACGTGTCGCAACCAGCATTAGACGTATTCGGAGTGTTTTCATTGACTAATTTTGATCTAGTCTTAAGTAAAAAATCTAAATAACTCCAGTTTTTCGGTTTTTGTAATGTTAACGTGCTAATGTCGTAACTCAACCCAAAGTAATCGTTAATTCTGTTTTGATGAACGGGTTGGTCCGTATTATCCAGATTCATTGCATATGATCCTACATCATTACCGGTGTAATCTTTCGTTTCTACCATGGTAGTGTTACTGTCTTGATTCTCTTCATTATTTTTTATCAAACGTTTCTTTAATAAAGGAATACGAGAACCAGTGTTGACGTATAGTTTACGGTTGGGGTGTTCTATGTTGCGATTGTATTCATTTGGGTCTATGCAATCCGCATTTTCGTAATTGCGTGGAAAAAATGGTGCCATGTTTTCAGATGACTTATAGCTTTCATCATCTGACGGTTGATTAGATGCCATTGCTTCACATACGGCGGCCATCAATAATTTATGCTCATTGTCGGCAGCGGGCAGACTCTCTGTGTATCCGGCGATCTTCTCAGTAACATCCTTGAGACTTGGAAAACGAGTACGGCGAGGAGTTACCGGCGGCGAGAATAATTTGGGCTTCAGATTATACACTTTGCCGCTAACCGGACTAGAATAAACACCTTTGGCGATGCTAGAAGAAACGGTATTGAAAAAGTCGTTCGCCACACCTTTAAAATTTTGGGTAGGAATTTGCCATGGCTCATTGTCCTCGAGTATATCATTGAACTTGGTTGTTTTGATCTTTGGGCAGCTACTGGATTTGTCTGCCGTTGGTTTTGGATTGTTATTTTGTTTACATTCGCAGGCGCAATTACATTTCAGCTTTTTATGGCGTAGGAAAGGAAATTGAATAATATAATCCTTTACTCGATTGGTACTTCGATGGGGGCATTTACATACATAGTTATCACATTTAGATTCACATGACTGGCGCGCAAAACGTGGGACTAAGCAAACGTTCTGGTTATGGCACCGATGTTTACATGATTTCTTGGTGTATTTTTTCATAGCAGGAGCAAGTTGGCAGTGTTTAGCACAGCTGCGTCTATGGCCAGTTTGTGGCACATTATTCTCGCAGTCTGAGTTAAGACACTTCAGTCGCAGTGATAGGTATTCTAAGCTTTCGCTTGTACTTGGTACACATTTCTTTTTCACGCGATGCTGGCAGACACAAGGGAAACCCTCGTCGCTTGAACTACTTTCGCACAAGTACACCCGACACTTGCTTCTTTTGTTTCCAACAACAATTGTAGACATTGACCTTTGTGTGTGTTCAGAACAACGTCGGCACGGTTTATAGTAACCTCCTCTGTGGTGTGGACGAAGACAAGACTCGGCAGTCGAGGGTGTATCATACATTTCTTGAAGTTGCACCTTCTGCTTCTCTTCAAGCAAGCAATCTCCACGACGACGACCTCTGAAGAGTCTATTACACCATGAGAAGAAATCATCTTGCTTAGGCGGCTTTCTTCTATTGTAATTTCGCCCACGGCCCCAATTGACTGTTTCGCTACAAAAAAGTGCTTAATGCAAATCAAAACTATTTGAGCCGCAATACTTTTTTGTGCGCCCAGGGCAAGGTCTATTATCGATCATCTCATTTCGTTTTTTGACCCAATTCCAGCCCCACCAACGGCAAAACTGCAAATCCCACAGATCATTTTCAGGTGGAGTAAACTGTGGGCAGGGTGGTGGACTGTGAAAGCACGGACACGGATTTCCTGGATTAACACATCTGGAACGACGAATTTGCTCTAAATTTGATGTTGTGGGGCAAGTATATTGTGCAGAATAAGTGTTACGATCCTTCGTTTGCTGCACATTCTGTTCCAAGTCCTCCAAATTTGATTCGCTCATACACTTTCCAGTTTGCTTACGGTTAGAATTAGATTTTTCGTCCATTGAATTTCTTTATCGGGTGCACATTAGAGGTTTATGCTATTTTAAGCTCACATTTGAACATAAAGAATTTTAAAAACGTTATTTACCATTACTTCTAAAATGTAATTGTTCGTGTCATTTTTGCGTCAAAGCACAATGACGTTTTTATTTAAAAAAAAGAGGCCACTTCACCTTACTGTAATGCTATTTTAGAATCTTTCCGTCTAATACTTCACACAAAAAGCAGTTTTAAATGGTCATCTACAATTCAACGACGTGATGATGGAAGGATAGCGTTCTAGATAGGTAGCGTTTCAATAAATTTGAATGAACAGTTTTTAAAACATCACCAAAAAGTATGGTATCGCTCACACTCACTGGAACTATTTACTATAAGTGCTTGCTCTGTGTCCAGAGAGGGTACTTTTAAAGATAAAATAGCAGGTCTGGGCGAAACATGACTGTCGGTGTATTTACTCAGTCCTTAAACTTTTGAGAAAACTCTGCTGTCGTACGTGAGCGGCCGGCGCGGTCCGTAGCCTACCGATAGATCTAGCCGTGAGTCGTGACATTGCTTTTATAGTGACGTCACAACTGGAGATTGGCCACTGCAACGCGATACTATGTGTTTAAATGCAATTTGATTCGCGAGCGTACTCATTTAACGCGAAAACATTTAGTATAATTACTTATTTTGAGCCGCAGGATTGTTATATGTTGTTTCCTAATTATATAGACACGTGTAATTATGCAAAAACGTTTATTAAATACGTACATAAACAACAAATACTCACTGAAAACAAATAAAATTGAAACATTCTAATATACACACATCTGCCTTTTATAAGGCGAGGCTTTACCTAGCGAAACCGGGCTTATTTCATGCAATAGTTTTTCCGCTTTTTCTATCTTGGTAAAGCAGATAGAGCGGTGCGGTTTTTTTTGTTTCAAAGAATAAAGTTGAATATTTGTCTATTACTTTGCAGAATTCAAAAATTTTAATTCATTTTTCTGTAATTAATTCCCAAAAAGAGTCAAAAAGAGCAATTTTCAGACACGTATATCTACGCTTCTAAGCGTCATATCAAAAAATTCAAAGTAAAGGAAAATTGTATACGTTTTACCTCACTCCTTGTAAATTATGTTGGCAATTAGTGGATTATCGACGGTAAAAAATTGGAAATTCGATGATAGTGTAATGCCAATTTCGTAGGTCGGAAAGCGTTCAGTACGCGTCCCCACTCCATAGCCGTCACGTTCGGCTTGGCTCTCGGCATATCCCCACGCGCTATCGTTTCTACCGTGGGCCGTGGCAATGGCCCGTATGAATAAAAGTAAGCAAATGCTTATACTTGCAACCGAGGCACGTGGCGCAGTGGTCGCGCTCACCGATGCTATTCGGGAGGTTGTGGGTTCGAATCCCGCTGCCGACTGCTCTGTCTGGGGTTTTGTCAGGGGGTTTTCCTCAGACATACGTAGCTTGGCATATTGGCATAATGCTAGCATTATGTTGAAATCTACGAGGCAAATGCTGGAGCAGTACTCTCCCCCTCAGCAACCTAACTCCGTTCCTTCCGTTCCCATCCCTAACTTTACCCATCCTTACAATCCCCCTTCTCTGGCTGAAGGGGGCCAGGAAGCCCTGAGCAGCCCGCCTCCGGTATCCCTGTAGTCAGGGGTGCCGGAGGAATGAAACACGTTGGTCTTTTTTCCTTCCTTTTTTTTATACTTGCAAAGTTCAATGTAAATACTCGTAAGTGCTCCTTCGCACTGGGCGACTTAGCAGCGCTTCTAAGCAGAAGGACAGGACGCAGTGCAGCGCTGCTAAACCATGATAAACAGACCAGTATGAAGGGGCAGTTACGAGTATTTACTTTGAATTTTGCAAGTAAGTATAAGCATTTGCTTACTTTTATTCATACGGGCCAATGTTCTTAGCCTTTTTTCCAACGGTCTAGGTGCATGAATAATGATTTTGACGTGCTTTGATCAAAGTAACGGGCGATCAAAAATGAGTTGCTGTCGAGTCACCTTTGGAAGTTCAAGTGAAATACGATTTTCCAAGTAAACAAAAATTTCAAAGGGAACTCGACAGCAACTCATTTTTGATCGCATAGTACAGTATATATATATATATATTATATATATATAATATATATATATATTATATATATATATATTATATATATATATATATATATATATATATATATATACATGTGGTTGCCAAAAATGCAACAAATTCCTGGCTACTTTTAAAAAGAGTTATAGCGCACACGGACGGACGGACGACAATATAAAACTATAAAAGGCTCTGAGGATCGTTAATAATCAACAGTGAAATCCATGCGTGTGTACCGTGTTACCTTTCTTGATCTGATTTCCAAATTGGTCTTTATGCGGGACTGTGAGACGAAGGTTGAGCTAGAGAATCACAGTTTACATCACAATTATGTTCAAGAGCCATTGACTGAATCAAATCGGGATTAGCGTAATTATTGTTATCATCAACCGATTCGACTACAGATTGACAATCCCTGGCTTCCCTAATAATCCCCTATACTTATTTATTATTCAAATTAGAGATGACCCATGCTGTCAACGGAATACGTCAATGTAACACAACAAAGTAACGCTTATGTGCTCGATTTTCCGTCGTCTGCCTATCTGTCTGTTCCATCGAGATCTCGGCCCCTGGACCACCTAGAGACTACGGGTTATCGGTCATTGTAGTTGCTAAGGTCTATATTTTCCCGTTACTCATCATTTACATCCTTTTCATATATGATGGCTGATTTTCAAAAATGATGGGATACGCGTCTCCGCCAAGTTTAATCTGGTTTCGTGGAACTGTTAATACTGTACCGTCTTGTCTAGTCATCTTGTGATTGTCTACCCGAATAATGAAAATGTCGGAGAAATGCTTTATACAAACCCTAGTAATTTCGAAATTGTCCCGGTGAATACATCTTAACCACTTTTCTTGATTGTCTTCATTTTTCGGAAAACGAAAACGGTAACCTTGTCTCGTGAACTATAATTGCTTTTGCAACCAGGGACGCAGCACGTATTTGGCATTTTCTTATTTATTCTGTTCGAATACAGTTAATTTAAGTATACAACATTAAAAAATAAGTTAACATAAAACTTACTTGGAATTAATTACATTAAAAGTCGATATGACGGACGCCGTCAGTTGTGACGTCAACGCAATAGCGGGGATAAGTGTCACGGCTAGTTCTATCGGTAGGCTACACGCGGTCGTCGCGGAGTAGACGGCCAACGCGACCAGAGCGTCCTACGTGCAAGCACCGAACATAAAGTGATGCGAGCGCATGAAGCGACAGACGTGGAAATATCAAATATATTGACCTTCTGTGCCGCCTCAAAAACGCTTCGAGCAGTGCGCGCCGCGCGGTGGTTGATAGGTAGGACGTAGGACCATTGCAGTATATGTACATAGGTAGGACATACCAATAAACTATCATGCTTTGATATAGAGGCGACGACCGCGCCGGCGTGTGGAAGGTGGGAGGCATGTTGGTTGCCTATGCTGCAGAGCTTATCTATGCGGCGATCATTACTTTTGTCAATGACTGTACATATACAATTTCTCTTCTCAAAATTCTGACACTTCAGTCTTCACCTATATCTCTCTCGAAACCGAACGAAACACGAGACCCCAATGGTGAGACACAAATTTGAACCATCTGGTACATATTGAATTTCTTTATATTTCCCAAAACAAAATTGAACAAAATTTTTGGAATTACTAATACACATAAAAATAGAAGACACAGTTTTTTTTTAATTGCATTATGATTTTATACCTATTCTGTTAGGTAGTAATTCATTCATGCTACTACACGTCTACACAACACCACATTTCATAAAAGATATGCAAATTTTACCTTTGCTTCTATCATTTACAGTACTAGACGCACCCTACATTGCTTTTATGTATGTATCTAATGCAAATAAAAGAAAAAAATGGAATTCAATTTGCTAAAAATTTATTTTTATCTAATTACTTATATCAACGAATATATGCACATTTTATAAAACTTGTTTTTTACTTAACCCTACTTTGAGAATAAAATTACAACAAACCAAAAGCAGATTTAAGCAAAACTATCTCACTAATAATAGTAATACTCTATGCTAACACAATATTACATAGAACGTTGGTTCACCTGCTGCACACGAATTTGGGGATTGTGAAGGGGATCCAAACTTGGATCGTCTTCAGTATTGTATCTTCCTAAACGACTTAAAATCAGCAGTATTCCAACTACGCCTAACACCAATACTATTGCTAACATGCAGTATCTCTTGTAGATCGATCCACTATTACGATTTCGCGAAGGAATACCTAGTGCATTTCTGTAAATGCAACCAATATATTAATTGTTAACACGAAACATGGACTTACTTCCACCATCTACGAACCAACTCTCCTGCAGGTCGTCTCTTATACTTATCGTCATCATGGTCCAATACCCCACCGTGCGTTTCTCGGTTGTCCTGAAATATTCTTCTGGCAGGTGCTTGAAATGTGTCGCTAGGACCTCGACTGAATGCCCCTTGATCTTCTACGTGTACCACAGAATGTGATGGAGCTGGTGAAATGCTCGGACCAGGTGCTACCACTAACTGTGATGTGGCATTGGGCTTAATCTCTCTGTCTTCGGATAACTATAAATCATACTTTCAAGATGAAATTATTTTGCACAAGTAAAATTACCAATGGCAGACCGAGACCGGCACGAGCCCAGTTTACTCCCGCTAATTTCTCTTTTAACACATCTGCTACCGGGCTAACGAGATTAGGCGGTGGAAATAAAGCACATCTACAAGACGGGCATGTGTACCCCGCAGGTGCTGTTGTTGGAGGTAATTGCCTTGAGTAGCTATCTAAGCAAGACCAATGGAATATGTCTATAACAGTCAACATTCAATAAGCATAAAGTTACTGGGCGGTACCCTTACGATAGCAAGTTAGACGAACACAGTCCTCTGCATTTAGCTGTTTGGTACATAATTCACAGATTGGATTATAATCGCTATCTTTTAACCATTGTATATATGACTGAACTATGCACTGTAAATAAGGTTTTATTAGATAAGTGAGGGTATTAACCAAGAACTTACTTTAGGGTGATTTGTAACCATACAATGCTCGCAAACATTAACGTGATGTTCGAAACAGAACTGATTTGTAACGCGTCTTTTAGGACATTTACACAAACCCATTTTTTACCATAACAAATATTAAAAATACAGTAATTTCGCTTAATTTTGTTGTACCTTTTAAGGCGGCCACGTATTGTACTTTGACAGCTTTGACGTTTGTTTGGTTTTGATAATTGACACTTTCGGAACGGAACGCGTGCCCTCTAGGATTTTTCTAATGTAACTGTTCAGATACGGGGTGTATACCCTATACAGGGCGTAACTAAATAATGCGCATTTTTGCATGAAAAATTAAACTTGTGCCCAAAAAATGTTCCGTTTGAAGATTTTATTTTTAATGTTTCCGTTTCGGGGGGAAATGAGACGAGTGCACGATTCGTATTCAAGAGAATGGCGCGAGTTACGCAACACACAAGCTTGACTTGACGTGTATATTTTGTGTAGAGTCAAATTAATTAATATTTGGTGGAAAAGGTGCTAATAAGGTTCCACAAGTGCTTTTCCATACAGATCAACAATAAATGTACGTTTAGAATCAGCACTTCAACGTCAATCTAGCAGATTAGAAGAGGTATTTACGTTACCCTACTTCCACTTCATGGACCGCCATTACATGGAAAGTTTTTGTTTTTGAGGTTTTTTCGAAATAATCCTGCCTTTGTCGTTCGTCTACCTTTCCGTATTAATTGTGAAACCCGAAGCCGTTTATCTGCATCTTCCTGTGACGTCACAGTACACCTACCTACACCTACTGTTTGAGTTGAGATAAAGGTACGTGCATTCTATACATTGACTTACGTTTACGTTTCTCTGAACAATGTTTCTATCGTATTTATATGCGCGTAAGACTGTAAGGTAAATTATAATTCAATTTATCATTAGGATATTCGTTGTGAGAGATTTTTCAGTTACGATTCGAATCTTATATGGAATTGTTTATATTGTTTAAATTGTAACCTATAACGTTTGTATCATAAATAAAGCAGACGATGTATTACCTGAAATCTTTGAATATCCTATATTTTATATTCAAAGCTGAAATTGACAGTATGTATTTATTTTGAAATGTAATTCAGGTAATGTATGGATGCTTTTCTTGATGGGACATTCAAATTTCGCGCTTTATCTGAGCGCAATATCATTGACGCAACTAGCATCGATTAAAGAACTCTCGGATCCCTCATATCCAAGCATGGCTACCTCGCCATGATTCCCCCCAGAGAATCTTAGCACCTGATGATATTAATGCCCTATGTCTACGACTTAAATGCATTCGAGAAACCATAGCCTGAACTTTATCGAATCGTTTCCGTTATTTGATATTTTATTTTACCCAAAATCGTCATGAAACCTTCATTTTCATGCCTACTCTATGTCAGGAAAATGTTAGTTTCCTTGACGGAGGCCAGTCTACTTTCCCTGCCGCCTGTCACTTTACCGGCCGCACCTGTCACTTTTCCTGCTCCACCTGTCACAATGCTAAATGTCTATTATGACTCCTGTCATCATTGACAGATTGGCATTAATCAAAAGTTCTATATGAAAATTGAAATTTTATATTAAAACACGATTTCGGGTAAAATTTAATACAAAACTCGTCAGTAGGTAAAATGACACTACGTGATTCGGAAATCAAAGTACCTACTCGGCCCCAAAGGGATCTCGTAGTTCAATATTACCTCGCCATTTTCCTGACTTTTATGTAAATAATATAATTTCCATATACCTATTCGATTTCTATCATCAAGTGAAAAGGGGAATCTTTCTCCTCTACTGGATAATTTCTAAAAATTGATATGTTTTGCACGCAAACTCCTTATCGTTGAACAATGGAAAAACACTTTGCTTAACTAATTTTCGGAAGATATAAACTTCTTCATCTTCCTACCTACCATTGAAAAATAAAAGTGAAATTCCTTTATTAAATGTTATATCTCGGTATCTGATGAATACCACGCGAAACATAATTAATTATAAGTATAATTACTTCACTTTCAACATACCCATTACATGGCATTTTATACTTGAAAGGCCTCAATTTTCTGGTCTAAGCTCTGTAAACATGTTTTTGGTTTACATCCTTCCTGGAGAATCTTTAGTGTTCGCACTCTATCATTTAATAAATATTACTTATTCAATGCCTCTATTAATAAGTCAGTAATTATAAATTAAACAAAAGCATATCCTGTATCCAGTAGCTCGCTACTCTGATTTAGGTACTTAATACACTTTGGTCAAGTTATTCTATGTTGAAGCGATTTTATCCGCCCCGAGCACATTGCTATCCGATACTTGTGGAAAGGAGTTAAAAAATTATCAAGGTCCACGTGTGACATCGAAGGGTGTGTACCAGATCAGCATTCTAGAAGCCAGTTTTGACTCCACCATCAATAAGATCTTGTTGGAGGCTACCACATTCCCTCTGTCGGTACCCACTTAAGACGTCCCGTTCATCCGCAATTGGCATTTTGGTGGCTTTCGCTAAAAATTGTCTACATAATAGTACTCAGTCTTTGTGGCACTTCTCATAGCTCGAGAGACGAGAAAGAGAGACCGCGATTCGAGCATTAAGGAACTTTTGGGAGTTAGAAGTCTACTACCCCTCGAAGACGGGCGCCTTGTAAAAGGTGGTTAACTTCGCCCATAGAAAAAAAAACAAAATTCCCCCACGCAGGAGTTGTGTGCGTTTACAAGATCTTTCCGACGACACTAAAGCAATCGAACGAAACCTGTAGAAGAAGATAGGAAAAATCACCACGCTAGTACCATTTTCGAGGATGACGCCCAAATGTCGCCTACCTCACATAATGTACTCAGTAGTTAGGTGACGTACACTCCTCCTCTTTCTACAATCGATCTTTTACGGGCCCTCATTTGCTGCTATCCAGCTATCCATCCATCCATCCAGCCGGATATCCAACCAGCTAATTAATAACGGATAAATAAAATTTTGTGTGGGTTATAGTACGACCGCGTAAAAATTTCATATGTACCGCTTAATTCATGTACAAAGAGTAATCGCGAGTCGGTGTAACGGCGACAGCCAGTCGCGTTTGGAAAAAGCGTGGGTTTTGCGATAGAGAAGCGAGTCGCCAGCCTTTCGTTGGGGCGTTTCGATTTTTAAACAGTGCAATATAGAAGAGAGAAAGGAAAAAGACGCGCTCCAGTCGCTGCTGTGTAGAGTACAGGTCTAGGTACAGGTCGTCGGCTAAGTTTGTAATTACGAAAATAAGATCGGGAGGTTAGTGTAAAAAGTACTCCTACATTGGAAGTGGAATCGATCTGGCCACCAGACCCGATCCGGCCAGGCCAGATCAATCCAGACCAGGACCGGCCTTACTTTCCACTATGTCCATACAGCCATTGACATTCAACTGAATTTTGAGTTGGAATTACCAATCAACCCACTTGGACTGTCCCTCTAGTTTATCTATCAAAACTCGCGAAACTTCCATGGCAAATAACCCAGACAGGGTTCATCACCTGATGAGATCTATATTAAATCAAAGAGTATATAACATATACTCTTTGATTAAATACTTAAAGAAGACTTGCACGAATTGAATGGTAAACAGTTATAATTGATCATAAAACGAATTGTAATTTAAAATGGCAAAAGGCAATCTAACATTTTTCAATATCTGTTATTTATTTACTCACTGTCATAGCTATACGTTAACATTCGAAATCTTTAAACGCAGGTTATTTAATTTTTCCATCAACAAGAAAATTCTCTAACATGTAAGTAATTTTCCTCGGAAAATTCACCCCCGGAAAAATTCGCTGTCGAAAGGAGGGAGGGCGACAAGTCAAAGAAGTTTGTCCCAAATAGTTACAAATGTAGTAAGTTAGGTCATTATAAGCGGTATGGTAAAAATACCAAGAAGTCCAAGTCTGAGAAGTGTCAGGAAAAGTCTGCGTTTGTTAGCCAATCGGATATCGTCAAATCTGTGGATTCCCCCCAATGTTTGGATTGCAGATTCCTTTGCAGCGCAACACATGATCATGAAACTTAATTGATTTTCCCAGAAAGGTAGGTACGTTCAAGTCGGAAATGACCAACCAATGAAGGCGCTTGGCAAGGGCATTGTCAACATTAAAATGATTGTTCGTGTAAAAAGGGTTATCTTGAGGATGTGTCGTGTGGTTTGTTCCGGAAGTGGGTTCGGTTTTGAATAGTGAAAATTGCTACATTTACAGGACAAGGTTGGGCTGTTCATCATGAACATGAGAGTGATTACACCGACGTCGGCTGAAATTGACGTTGTTGCTGAACATGATTTACAAGTTTGGCATGAGAGATTAGCTCATCAGAACAAATTCGATGTTCTGACCTTTCTAAAGTGAACGGGATCGACGTCAATGGCAACTTGAAATCAGACCTGTATGATGCACCGTTTGAGCTTCGCAAACGTAAGGAGGTCATAGCTAGCCCGAGTATCAGGATCAACCATGTGGGTGGGCCTATGCCAGAAAAATCCTCAAAAGGAAGTCGCTTCTTTGTCGTTTTCAAGGCCGAGTTTAGTTTATTCTATACTAAAAGAAAAGTCGGAAGTCAAGGACAAGTTAAAACCGAGGTTAAAGTAGTTTCTTGAGGAAGTAAAGACTCTTGGACAGGAAGTGAAAGAGCTTTTGACTGACAATGATACCTACTGAATTTGTGAAAAAGGACGTTGAAAAGATCACAGAAGGGCATGGTTTACGCCACTGAACTGCCATATACCTACGCCACAACAAAATGGCGGTGCCGAACGAGAGAATCCAATGTTGGTAGGAGCTGGCAGGACTATGTTGCAAGCTCACACAGAAATTTTGGGCTGAGGCTGTGATGACATCTGTAGGGATGATTAACCGAACAGGACCGTCTCCAAACCCAGTAATTTTGCCATACGAACATTGGTACAAGAAGAAGCCTGCGATCAGCCACCTTAAAGTATTCGTTAGGTACTAAATGCTTTATCCACGGTCATGGTGTCTTTTGCCATGTTAAATTATCCTTCTTTTTATCATTAATTACAACTGTTTACCATTCAATTCGTGCAAAACTTCTGTATTTATTTAACCACAGATCTCATCTAAATATTTCGGAGGCGAATTTTAGGTGGCGAATTTACCGGGCAGGGTCGGTTCTTCCTATAATCGTTTCTACAAACAGGAAATTCAAACTCAGAGTACCATATGCCAAATCTGCCATCAAAAACATAGTTTCATTTATGGATATTCACTTAAAATACTAATATGGTATAAACGAAAGAGTACTTAATTTTAGCACAATGGTCGTATTTATATTTTTTACGCATGTTTATTTGTTAAGGGAAAGTGCATAAAGAAGAATTACATAAGCACCATTCAGTCAAATTAAACATATAAAAGTAGATAACTATAAAGCTTCATAGATACAAAAAATTTTTACAATTTTCAGATTATTTTATCAAAATATGTCTTAGAGTTCGAAAGATAACAGCACCGTTAAATTTTTCGCCACTTTCCTCCTACAACATCTATTTTGAAAACCTTACGATTTGTTATACTTATTCCCGTATAAGTACCTACTGATGTATAGGTACTAATACCATAATTCGGTATTAACGTGTCTAAATCAATTTTCCCATTTTTTAACAACATTATTTGAATTCAACCCACAAATATTTGCATTTGCAATTTTATTTATAATTAATACAGCCAAATTGTTAATTGAAAACTATATGGCTATTTATTCCTAATCAAATTATCCCAACCCCAATTAAAGGCAAAATCATATCGGTATCTAAAAAAACAATTCCTCTTTCCTTTAATTGTTTTTGGTACCTCAACCAAAACTTCGTGTTGAAAAGTTATCGCTGTTAGATTTTTAGAAATGCTCCTTTATTTCTTTTTAATTTGTAACGACGAATTAAAGCCCACGACGGCAGCGTACCTCAATTAAATCCCATTACGCTCAGTGAAATCTAATGTGATTTTAAGAAAGTAAAAATTAAATATGACGAAACTTCTTGCCATACTCGACGATTGTGTGTATTGTTTATTGTTTTATGTTTAATAAGTGTGACAAGTATTTTATATAAATGCATTACCAGATAGAGTTCTTGCAGTTGCGATAATAATCTCAGTCCATTCAATTCTTCACTCCACAAGATGAGAAACTTGCTTAAAGGGTTAACGTTAGCGGCATTCGTTGCTTGGGTTTTCGCGAACCCTAAGAAATACGTTTCCGGTGATAGTGACAGTGGTGATGCCAGTGGGTACGCGTGCTTTTCATCCAGAAAATCATCACTAAGTAACTTATCAAAACTATTTGCAGAGGTTTTCATCCAAATAATCAACGGTATTACGAATCGAATCTTCCCGGAGGTTCAAGGCATTCCAATATATCCGAATCCAAAGAAATGAAAGAAAGCAGCGCGATTAATCGCTATCAACGGTTTGGAAATTTAGGATTACAACCGCCATCAGGCTACGGTAATACTGGATCGGGAGTGCAGGGATATCCACCTGGTGGCGTTGGCTATAATATGGTACCGATGAAAATTGATATTGGAGGTGTAGCTTTGGGGGCCGCTCTTGGGTTGGGAGCCGTTTTATTGGCGCCTAAGTTGTTTTCGTTTTTCCATATGCTAGCGCCGGGATATAGAAGTGAATGACAGTCATGCCAGTTTTGTACGGAAATACATTGATTTTTTTAGGTCTAGACAGCAGCAGCAGCAATTCGTCGGCCATCTCGGATATACTGGCGAGGATTGATAACTCTCTTGAGGAGCACCATATCGATAGCAGTTCGTGCATGCAAAGAATCATCTGCTCGTACGTTAACGAAGCCCAAAAAAATGTGCAAAATGGAGAACAAAGCACCGTAGATGAGCTGCTTTTAAACATTTCTAAGTTAGTAATTTTTTCACTACGTGCCTTTTCTCTGCGCTAACGCAGTTTATTTCAGTAATTCACTTGTAACGTACATGTTGGATGGGAGCGCTGTAAAGCAAGCAATTGATATGGGAAAACAGGGAGATCTTGACAAGTGCGCTTCATTGTACGTGAAGTGCCCTATAAGTAGGGAAAACGTGCTGCAAGTCATATCGAGCTTACTTCCATCCTAACTGTTGTGCTAATTTTTTAGTTGGTACCTATTCCCATCAACTGATTAACTTATTCAACAGAAGTAATAGTAATTGCTCTCGTCAAATTGTGTAAAATTGTATAGTTATTTAATTTATTAGAAAGTTTGGTAATAAATTTATTAGGTTATTCTAGTGGCAATTAAACCGGTGTATTTTTACAAAAAAAAGTTATCAAAACAACTGTATGAAGCATGAGACATAAGTATGTAAAAACTGTCGAAAAAATGTGTGGGATCAAAAATTTGTATCAATTTTCACAGTTTTCGAAACACGAAAAGATGATTTTTAAACGGAACCCCCTCCCCCACCTATGGATTCTACACTGAAAACTAAAGTTAGTTTGTTGTAACATCCATTTATCTAAAATTAACGGTTTCTGTAGAACGGGGAACGAAACAAAAATTTGTGCACCAGTTTTGAATTATATGCCTTTGCAGAAGACTCTTTTTCCTTTTTCTGTGAACTTACATCCCAATAACGGAATAGTCAATTAGAATTGTGACCACCGAAACCCAAAAACCATTTCTTCCCTAAGTAATGTGTGTTATCTATGTACAGAATTAAGTTTATATGTCAAAGTGTTTTGAGTTATCGTGCGAACAAACAAACAGACGGCCGGACGGACGGATTGGATGTTTATCGTTTATTTTTAGCGCATTTTTCAAAAATAAAATGTACATTTATTCACCAACTTCATCCGGGAAACTCAAAAACACATTGACTTGATGCACAGGAATTAGATTTTTGTGGTACTCCCTTTTTGGATGGTAGAAATCAACAAAATCTATTCACGAATTTCATCAAGGAAACTGCAAAACGCATTGCTTTAATAGACAGGAATTACATTTTATGCTTGCGCTACCGCAACATACAGAGGAAACATACTGATCTATGAATGCGTGGACTTTTTAGCTTTACTCCAGGCTAAATAGCTCTAAAATAATTTATTTTCAAAAAAAATTAGTTACCGGGCTAAACCGGGTTTTTCAGGCAGGTGAAATGAATAGAAATTGGGAAAAAATAATTAAAACAGCTGAATTTTTCCGCGGGTGAAATCACGGGGGTTGATAGGGGTGGAAAGGTGTTTTGAAAATTGTGGCAAAACTATTAATTTTAGACGAAAATGTTAAATGTAAAAGTTATAGATTAAAAAAATGAGTAACTTTTGTATCTACACTATTTTCACATAACCTCCAACTTTCCTAGAAAAACCGGAAAAACTGATTTTTTCGTTTTTTATTCTTATTTCTGCGAAAAAATGTAGTAGGGGTTTGAAATTTGGAGGAAGTTGAACCGTTTCCAAGATCTCACGATTTCTGAAAAAAACCAGGCATCTATTTTGCAAGGGGATGAAAAATCTATTTTTTTTCATCGTACAGAGGTGCGCGTGGTAGCAAAATTTTCGTAACGAGTAATCAAAAATAAAAAATATTATTCCAATAGAAAAATTTTAAGAAAAGCGTCAAAAACTGTGGGAACAGTTTTAAGGTAGGTATACCGTTTTTGACAGTAGGTAAATAGCTTTTTTGCAAATAAATTAACGTATTGGATCCGCGCTAATAATAAGTTTTTGAAATCTGTCTTCTCTCCCCTCTTTAATGTTGCTAAAATATGTTCTTTTATTTCCCAGTGCCCAACTGCCTTAATTAAAACATCTTTATTATTTCTTTTTTCTGCATTTTTGACGCAATAAAAGCAATTCGAAATAAAATCGAACTCTTTTGCTTCCTGAACAATTTGTTTTTGTTCACTAACTCTTCTTCCTGCCTGTTTTACAGCTGATGGGAATTATGAATAAAATCCTGACGACGTTTATTCCAGGTTTTACATCTCAAATCATTTGCTTTGGTCAATGGCCGGTAAAACTAACGTTCTTATTTCAGATTTTACAAGTTTTCAACAGGCCCAACGCAATTGCATCAGCTATAAAACACGCAGGAAGAAGAGTCAGTGAACAAAAAGAAATTGTTCAGGAATCAGGAAGCAAGATAATCCGATTTTATTTCGAATTGCTTTTATTGCGGTAAAAATGCAGAAAAAAGAAATAATAAAGATGTTTTAACTAAAACAGTTGAACATAAGATAACAAAAGAGAATATTTAAGCAAACATTAAAGAGAAGCAAGAAGACAGATTTCGAAAAAATCTTTATTAACATCCAATATGTTGATATATCATGTGAAAAATCGTGTAGATATATCTTTTAACTGTTGTTCCAGTTTTTGGCTATTTTCTCGAATTTTTGCTATAGGAATAATATTTTCTTATTTTTGTTTATTAAAATATAAATCTTCCCGAAAATTTTGCTACCCCGCGCACCTCTGTACGATGAAAAAAAAATAGATTTTTCATCTCCTCGAAAAAGAGGTGGTTTTTTTCAGAAATCGTAAGATCTTGGAAACGGTTCAACTTTACAGGCCCAAAAAATTATCTTCTTTTTTTATCATAAAACAAGCTATGTTTGCTCCAAATTTCAAACCCCTACGACATTTTTTCGCAAAAATAAGAATAAAAAAACGAAAAAAAGACAGTTTTTCCGGTTTTTCTAGGAAAATAGTGCAGATACAAAAGTTGCTCATTTTTTTAATATCTATAACTTTTACATTTCGGCTAAAATTAATAGTTTTGCCACAATTTGCAAAACACCACTTTCCACCCCTTTCAACCCCCGTGATTTCACCCGCGGAAAAATTCAGTTGTTTAATTATTTTTTCCCAATTTCTATTCATTTCACCTGCCTGAAAAACCCGGTTTCGCCCGGTAACTAATTTTTTTTGTCAATAAATATTATATAACCTGGACTACTTGTTTAGAGCGTCATATGGAGTGAGAGCGCTTATGTGATTATACAGATAGCAGATCGGATTTATGGCTCAGTGGTAAGAGCATTGGGTTATAAATCCGAAGGTCGGGTGTTCGAACCTGGGTTGAGGTGAATTTTTCATCAGTTCCGAGCATTCTACCGGCTACTCCGAATTAGGTTTTCCTGCAGTTTTCCTAATTCGTAAGGTAAATACCGGAGTAGTTGTTATTAATGCACAATGCTTTGTATGTTCTATATATATTTAAGTTGACCTGTAAATGGATGCGTTCTGTTGGTCAATAAACTATTATTATTAGTAGTATAGACCATCTTAAGACCTTCTGCAGAGGCACCTCTAAATAGCATTATGCGGGTCACTCTGTAATTGGGCGCATGCCTGTTGAGGGCCCAAAACAAGAGAGGGATAATAAAATTAAAAAAAACGTTGGAATTTTGGGGACTTTTTAAATGTTCGAACAGGTTGGACATTAGATATCAAGAAAGTCTATAGGGTGTCAAAATTAGAGGCTCAAATTTTCCAGGAAATTGTACAAGACGTGGAATTGTGTAAGTACAAGTACGTCATTAAATTTCTTTAGTACGTTGTCCTCTTGGGGGGGGGGGGGTAATATTATATCAGTTTGGTTTTGTTGCGAAAATAACTTACCAATTACAGGTTTATCGTACACATTGTAAAGATGCAATTCAGCAGAATTCGGAGCGTGGGTAGTTACAAGGTGCATTTTGATGTTTTCCTATGTACATGCAATTAATCAATTATCATTTTACGAGTTGTTTTCGCTTCAGCTCCACTCGAATTAACGTTCATTTTGACGGAATAAAATCCCTTTAAACAACTTTCTATACCTATTTTTTTTACAACAACTGTACAACTCGCGAGACGGCTGTCTTGTAATCAAAATACGCTCAACTACCGCTGATACATAGACATGTGGCGCAGCTAAGTATCCCAGGCGGGTGATTGCTATGACTCCATGGATAAAGTCTGATTCCAGTAAATCCGGTTCAAAGGATGCTGTATCATTCAAATGCTTCATAGAATAGAGGAATCCAAAAGGATTCTCGACGATTGCTCATTAAACGTAATATAGAAAACTATATTAACATGAGTAGCACATTTTTCACGTACGTTTACTCCTGAGGAGTGCGGTAGACGGCATTTTGAACAACTTTCGATTCCGATTCGGCCATTTGCCGATACAGGAGTAGAGTTTCGAATAATCGGACTCGATCATGACTTGTTACACGTGATAAAGGAGACTTTATCGACACTAGTACTCCGGGTTGTGGAAAGCGTTAGGGACTGACCACTCCAGTCCACTTAATAGGGTTTGGACTCTGAGGATGTGTAAAAGTAGCTTAATGGTAGAGCCAAGAGAATAATTTGTGGGTATTATTTTCCGGGGAAATTTTTCATGGTTCTACTGGAGCAGCAATTGAAATCCGAAGGGATATATAAGTGTTAGCTGCATTTCGCAATTATATGAAGACTACTACTACTGCTGGAAGTATATTAAATTAGACACCAAATAAATTGTTTATATCCGTACCCAAAAAAGAAGCCATACGGAAAAAGTGGCTACAACTTGCATGTCGAGACCCAGCGTATTCAATAAAAATAACACTATTTTTGTGAGGACCACTTTGATGTAAGCTTTATTTTGTATTCACAAAAACCCCCATATGGGATGGCAAGTTGGGGTCGGTTTCTTCGTCGAAAACTAAAGAAACTGCATGCAGCTTTGCGTGAACCTTATGTTCCGGGCAAATTTTGACATAGCTGTGCATAAGTTGCAATCACGCTTAAGAGTCTTCTGTACGACTGCACCCAATGTAAATTTCCATAAGAGCGCCCGCCATAAAAACTCAAGTTGTTTTTCCAAAAAAAAATGTACTACTTTATAAATTTAGACCTTTATCTATAAAATGTTAGTAATGTAAAAAAGTTGCGCTTACGTAGAGATCTATCTTACTGAATCATCTTCATATGATAGCTTCGATGACCTAAAAACAAAGCATTTGTACACATTTCTCTTAAGTAACTACATTTCTTGTAAAAAATCTAAGCTTAACTTAAAAACCTACAAAACTTATATGGCAGTTTTACTATTTCTAAATTCTAATGAGGAAAAATCTTTGTTGGGTGCGAGAAATATTTCCAACATCATTACATCAATTTTTGGCAGATTTGCTGCTATCAGCTCTCGTATACCTACTTTCCATTCTTATCTGGTTTAAAAAACTAAACTTTAGGATAATATAATCACTATAAAATTGAACAAGCACTAAATTAAAAGACGTAGACAAACGCTATAAACGCACAGAGGATCGCTGCTTGAACCGCCAATTAGGATAATGACGTCACGCGCTCTGATTGGCGTTTGATATCACATGACAAATGTCGTTATTTTTTAATTTTATTTTTACTAAAATATAATAATTTCTGGTGTACATTACCAAATAAAGTTATTTTGCGATACCCTGGCACCTTACTCTATCTTATGAAACAGAAATTTGTTTATTCTTTTTCCACTGTCATGTACCCTATTATTATGCTAAATAACGCTGCATACAATTTGGAGGAACGGTTGGTAATCGTAAACCAGCAAAATACACGACATATCGAACATAAAAATACATAATAATCTGAAATATATCCCTTACTTTATGATAGCCTTGTATATTTATTGATTTCTGAAGCATCAATTAATAAAGTAGGTAATGTAGAGGTATTTTAAAAAAATCCAATTAAGGGGTATCCTAATTTGCAAACTTTTTGTTTCGCCAAAATTTTTTGCAGAGAATAATATAAAACTAATTCCTGTCTGTTAGAGCGAATAAATTTTACATCCTAGATACAGTTACTTTAAATAATATATGTAGGTACTCACCTAACATACAAAAGTTCAAACTAAATAGAATTAGTTTAACCGGTGGTTAATTCTTTGGTGAGTAGGCAATGAAGATGAAATCAGATATCAAACTGAGACCGGCATGCGGCGTGAATTTGCTCTTCGCCTTTAATTTCTCCTCAATTTGCCATAATTGTTATGTTTACATGGCGTATCAGGAAGTGTAGCGACAAATAAGATTCCTGTAAAAAGATTTATCATTAGCGATAATTGATGTAGAAAACTAAGGATGAAGAGCAGGAAGAAATTAAAAGATCTAATGGCCATTCAAAAGTGTAACTAGATATAATTGTATCATTTGGTGTTATCACTTTCCCTATTGTTACCGTCAAACTGTTGTGGTAGGCGTATGCATTAGGTTAGGTAACGCAATTTCACAGCTTCTTCGTGCGAAATGATGCACATTGCCCACCGATTCGCATCGTTGTCATAAAGACAATCAAGATTTCTTATTCTACCACGAGATGTGTTAATAAGACAAAATAAAAATGGGGATGGCAAAACAATTATAGCGTGATATGTTACGGAATATAGGAACGAGTAGGTAGTTCAGTCTAACATTTCAGTTTGAACATGAGTGATCTGTTGACGCGATTATGTGTCATTATTTTAGTGTTAAGTTACAGTACAGTTCTTGCGGCTTACAACATTACGGATCGTTATTTATCTATGGGCCCCCGAAATAATTACCAGACGAGACAGGAACGTTTACTAAACTTTAACACGGACACGGACGGAGAGATTAGTGTAAGTAGACAACTTCCAAATTTTCCAATGATGCATTTCATGTAATTCGATATTAGCTTGTGTGTCATGGATATCTTCTCGAAAGTACCTACGCTTCTGTATAGAATTCTTATTATTGAAGTAATCATAACAGTAAATGCTATAGTTATTATCACTGGTCTGTTTAGTACAGTGGGAAAAATAACAATTTTAAAATGTTGCAAACTTCGTTTAAATCTGAATATACAGGTTCCAGAAAAGCAACTTGAAGGGCTCCGTATCCACCCTTGAGAAAAGATGGAAGTACGGAAGCATTAACTTCACAACTGGATTTCATTATCCTTATCACTTTTTAAACTGGAGTGACAATTTTCAAATGTTCCCAAAATCACAACGGACCCCCAATCCAACTGATCTGGTCCTAAACTTCTTTTATTTAAAGATAAGCTCTCGGTATTTGTTGGAACATAGGTATACAGGGTGGTGACTGTAACTTGCGTCACGCATCATAGGGATTTCAATGTAAAATTCATGACATGCCGTTATTGGCTTCCCAAATTATTTTAGAGCAAAAATGTATTAAGGTTGTTTGTAGAAAAAAATTTTTTACGTCAATCAACCGTATTAGTTTTCAATTTTTTGCATAATAAAGACGGAAAATTGGAAAACTAAAACCCTAATCTTTTTCAATAATCTGTGATGCCATGGAATTTTATAATACAAAATCTACGCCAAAATCCGTCATGTCATGGAATGTCTGTTATAAAACAAATCAAATTCTATCAAAAAGTATTATATTTAGAACAGCAAATTCAACATAATCATAAAGAAAGACCAAATTACTAAAAACGGTTTCCTAATATAACAATTTACAATAAATGTTCGAATAAGTCACCATTAACTGCAAGACAGTTTTAGTCAATCATAAAATCCATTTCGAACTGCTGCTAATTGATAACTGAATATCTTTTGTTTTAGAAAATTCCAAGGCATCGCAGATTATTGAAAAAGATGCGGGTTTTATTTTTCCAATTTTTCGTCTTTATATGAAAAAAATTGAAAACTAACACGGTTGATTGGCGTAAAAAAACTTTTTCTACAAAAAACTTTAATACATTTTTGCTCTAAAATTATTTGGGGAGCTAATAATCACATGTTATGAATTTTACTCGTGATGCGTTACGCAAGTCACCACCCTGTATATTCATCGACAAACAATACAATTATTAACATGTGGTCAAATTTACTTTTATCTAAAGTTATCTGTCAGTTAAATCTGACGGACGTCGGTACCCTTTCAGGATTAATTTAAATGGAATCAAATGAGTGTATGTTAGGGCGTTAGGCTAAAATAACGAGAAATGTTCACAACACTTTATGGCCTCTTTGAAACGTCCATAACAATCGCGTTGTATCTTACTCAAAAATACCACATTACGATATTTAAGTTCTTACTCTCAATAAATTGACCAGAACACATTTTGATTATTATAAATGGCCATAATGCGTTTTCAACGCTATCTGACGCAACAATATAAATAAAGCGACTTAGTTACATTTACTTTATTTTTTTTATTTTATTTATTATCAACAAACTGTGCTTCATGGTTCTCACAATTTATTAGTCGAAATTTGCTTTATTCACTGGAATAATTTACCAATCTTCCGCAGTATGGAAACGTCCAAAATTAGTGTAATTTAACTTTAGGTTTCGACAGCCAACAAAAACACGAATTAATTATCGTTAACCTTTTTAGCGTTGCCGTTTAATGTCAATCTAAAAACGCAAGACATGCACAGTTTTCACTCACAGACTTGCTTCTTAATCGTACAACTGCTCCAAATATATCCGCAATAGACGTTTTGAACCTTGGACTCCAACGCTTTCGTGGTACCAATTTGTTTAAATGAGAGCAAGTTAATCCGTTAATGCAGCGTTCGAACTGCATAGATGTACGTCTAGAGTTTGGCTGAGTATGCGTTTCTCCCACCCAATTTTTACCTATATACTCGCCGAGCTCGAATGATGAAACCAACCGTTCACCCTCTTTTTTATGCATGTGAAGGTATAGCAGAAACACCGCCTCCCATATTCCGCCACGACGGTTTTTATAACCGGCAACACTGGAGGTTGCGACTCCTATGTGGTTGAACACTCACTCTTATCCTAACGTGCTTTATTTTCTCCCATATTAGTTCCGTTCTCTTTCCTTATGAAACGGTACACGTGGAAACTTGGCTATACCAGCATATTTGTAAATTTAACTCTTTAAAGCCCAAAGGGACCACCTGTTACAACAGTCGTAAGCCCTCTTAAAGTTTCCACTCTTAAAGATCGACTTCGGTGGGGAAATGACCATAGTCTTTATCTGGATGCTCCAGAAGCGAAATTTACATATTTTCCAAGACCATCTGGATTTTATCTAAGAAAAATTAAAATTGTTATTTACGCAGCAATTTCACTAACTTTCTTCTGCCTCTTTTGAAAGAAACTACAGAAATGCATTTAGAAATGGAACATGTTGTTTTGCAGATTAACAAGGGCAAACCTAGTATGATATGTGGTTATTAATCACGATTTCTGGTGGGGCCCTATTATACACTTTTCCCGGTAGGCCATAACAAAGCAGTCCATTGATCAATGTCAATCAACTTCCACCTTGGATGGCACTGTTGGATGATTTTACTTACTGGCACGTTGACCTGTAGTTGTTCCTTACGTTATTAACTCGTTATATAAAACCTACCTTTTTCTCTTTACCCATATAAATAACTGTTATGTATTATGTGGTCAATAAACAATGTGATATTGGTATAGCTAAAACTTAATTTGGGTAGATTTATGAGAAGAAAAATTTAATACACATTTTGAGCGAATTTTTCTATAATTTACCTCTGCTTCATAAAACATCCGCGTTATTAACAACGAAAGCTGTACAATATAATGGCTGCTCTCTTCTTACATCAAGGGGAAAGTAGGTCACCGCATTTAAAACTCTTCTAATCTGATTGATGTTTCTGCATGTTGATGTATTGTTGTTGTGTATTGATGGAACGCTATTTATCACTTTTTCCACTAAATATTAATACTTAAACGCAACGTAAAAATACGTCAACCTCGTGTTGCGTAAACGTTCTCACGCGTCTCTCTCTCTTAATGCCCGCACTCGTCTGCAAATTCTGCATACTCGTTTTGGATTTAAATTAACAATGAAAAGAAGAACTAAAAATGACATAACGGAGAACTTAACGCCCATTTACACCAACTAAAAATAAAGAAACATCTAACCCTTGTGAAAAATCATTGATATGCCTATAAAAATGTTATGCGTTAGTGTAAATAATCATTGTACAGAGTGTAAAATTACCAAATTAAATATTTACAATAACAATTTTAGAAACATCGGGTTCGATTCCCATCAGTCGATGCAGAATTCTTTTAATTTTTTTATATTTACGATTTCTACATTTCGCCAGACTAATATAAGATTTCACACAGGCTCGTAGGGGCTGGTATTTCCGGTAATGCCTTATTTTCAATTAGAAGTGCCAACTTATGCTACTTATTGTTAAATAAAAACTTTTATTTGTTACTCAGTTGTAAACGTTGATTAACAAGACAAAACGCAAACGGGTAAACGTCATGTTTAAACGCTACTGACTTGTAAAACTGACAGCAGACTTGTAAAACTGACAGCAGACCTGTAAAAATTTTACAAGTTAGTAATCTAGTAATTTCATTGGCCAGAATTAATGCGAAGTTCTCTGTTACATGGATCACATGATATTTTAGACATTTCTTCAAGATCAATTTAAGAACTAATTATTTACGTTTACTATTGTTTACAAATGAGTAACAAATAAAATATTGTACATTATACGCCAGGTAATAGTTTTTACTGGCTCTATCGCCAGTAAAAACTCACTTACCTGGCTAATAATGTAAAATACTATAATTTTCCGTTCTTACAAATCGAGTAAACTGAAAGGATCTGTCTTCTTTACCCAAGCGTAACTTTTTTACATTATAGTATATAGATGATTATAGTTGCAATGCAAGAGACAAGATGATATTTTTGCTTTGTCAACTCCTGTCTTGGTGCTTAGTTAGTTCCCGCAGACACTGAGCAGCGGCGCCACTTGTTACACTGAAATTGTTGATTTACCGCCCGCCAAGATACAGACTTTATTTACAAAAAATATGATTTCATTTTTTGGGGTAATGTTTAGAAGGAACTGTCGGTTTACTTTTTCCATAAATCGTCTTGATCGCGAGTAAAAAAATGAAACAGATTAGCCCAATAATCGGCGCAAAACAGCTAATCTTTAAACAATCGATATTCAGTTGCTATACACTTTTTAAAAAAAATAGTCCTCGAAATAGTCCGAACATTTTGTAGATAAAGGTCTAAATTTATAAAATAGTTCTTTAAAAAAATTTTTTTTGAAAAACAACTAGAGTTTTTATGGCGGGCGCTCTTATGGAAATTTACATTGGGTGCAGTGGGTACAGAAGACTCTTAACGCAGGGATAACTAGGGGCTGGGTACCACGGTAAAATATAATAACCCTACAATACCTAAAGAATACTTTTCCCACACCGACGGGTAGGTAGGATTTCGCTCATCAAGTGGTTGCCAATTGATTAACAAATTTCTCTTGAACATAGAAACTGAAAAAGAACGCATTACAACGAATTTGCTTTAAATGTTTGAAATATATATAGTTGAAGTCGTGTAAAGGTTGTAATGGCGGTTATTTAAATTCTAAAAGTATAAACTTACATACTGATGAAAACTTACTTCGAAACTAAACCAACATGTTTGTTTAGTCTTCTATTTGGGTAAATGAACGATAAAAGTGACAATAAAACGAATGTCACACACAATTTAATAATAAATTAATACGTATACCTACATTGTATAGTTCTTGCACAATGTTTTATTGTCATATACATATACAGTTTATGTTTATCACATATTTTTTTGGATTTAAGAGATAATAATAATTGCTTGATAGCTCCTTCCCGAGCTTTTTGAATAGTAATTTCTGTCACAATCGTTTTTTGAATCTTAAAAGTTAACTGTTTATTATTAGATCATAACACTCTTAACACTCTTAACGTTATTTGTTTCAAATTTGCACTATAAATTGTTGGCGCTACCGAAGTAAAAAGCCTCAACTTTGTAACAGGGTTACATTTCATGGTGGGCAAATTATTTGTTAAGTGATTATATTGTACCTGCCACTCGAAACTTAATTTCCGCGCGGAGAAATTGTACACGAAATGGAACACTATTCCAATTTGGACTAACGAATTTTTGGGTGCTAATTTTTACGGGTCTTTGACTTCAGCTCCAACTCGTGTCTAACAAATCACTTTTATTTTGACCTGAGCTATACGACGACTCAAAACGCATTGAAAATTTCCCGCGCTGTTCGACGAATCACTAATTTCTGTTACACCTCAGTAAAAAGTTAGCAGTTTTCTTATTAGTAAACAAGATGTGATTCAGCTGTACACTACTTTTATAATTGTATCTTATTTCGCGACTAAACGTATCCTCAATTCCTCAGGGTATTATATGCAAATAATTCAACAGGACTGTATCCAGGTCACAAGCTATAGAAAAAATATAAGAAAAAATCGAATTAAATAAATACGATAAAGAGCTCCCGTTACAACTTCGATTCGAATTTTAGGATTAAAACAGGAACGTTACATAATAATATAAGTCTCAATAAAAATTATTAGCACTAGCGCTTTTAACGAAATTTAGTGTGTACAGACGAGTTTGATCCTTTTTTTGTCAAAATTCCAATATCTTTCTCTACTGTTATTGTGTTAAAAATCACGGCCAAACGTATTAAAGATGCTTTTCTAATCGATGCGTATTAAACGGATTCGGACATGACAGTTGTAACGAATGCATGCATATGTTTAAAATTCTGTTATTCAATTATTTATTTTTCCAGATTGAAATGCAATTTGCAGTTCCCTTTATCAGGATACCGGTGGAGAAAGCCATACATGCGACAAAAGGCGCCGTAGCTAATGTCAATGTAGCCGCACTTGTGGTAACAGCAGCGATCGCTCTTATGACTGGTTTCGTTTTACCTGCCCTTCTTAAACTATTCAGCTATAAATACATGAACATGGCAGAAGCAGCTGACATGCCCATGGGAAGAAGTGAGTACCTTTCTAATGACCATTTCAATTTTTATTACTTACGATTTGACGAATTTATCACGGTTCAGAATAATATAAAATGCACGTGCGAAGGTAGGCGCTAAATGATTTGAGTAAGGGAATAAAGTATAATTCTATTTTTCAAGCGACTGCTTCTTATTGCTCGGAAGTAAAATCGTTTCGTCCGTTAACGCTTGGCTCAGCACCCGAAAGTGAGCTCGGCCCGCTCGCCTGGCTCGCAGTGACTTAAAGGGAATTTGTCCATTTGAAATGAACTGTGCCATTAAAATATGAAACGGGCTCGAACCCCCTGCGCGTGCGCGGTTTTTTGTCTATAATATATCGAGACAAAAAGTAAGTGATTGTGAGTAAGAAAGAGGTCACATCTGTCGGCACCGGTCGGCACTTACCAAATACCACTTTTGAAATTTCTTATTCATTTTATGGAAAAATGATGACACAAAAGTAGCAGGAGTTTGAGGTATACAATTTGCTCTGAAACGGTGAAAGTCCTGATTACTCCCGTCTATAAAAAAGTTACAAGAAATTTTTGTCTCGACGAGCGTTGAGTGAAAAATTTGTACAAGAAAAACTTTTTTTCTGTAATATATATATATATATATACTTTACTTAAAAAGCCGATTGATGTCACTTTATAATTAGTATTAACTTCTAAATATTCACTTCTTTTTACCCTTTTTACCCTTGTTACCCTTGGCACCTTTCTTGCCGCCAGCACCACCTTTTGCGGCACCGCCTTTGGGTTTCGGATCAAAATCTTCTGTATTGTACTGCGTATCAGTGTGGACCACGTTTTTCTTCCTCTTAAGCCGTTCGGGTCTTATGATTCCTGCCGGCGGTGTAAATTCTATATCTAGCTCGCTATCAGATGACGATGTTGATTCTACATCCTCGCAATAACACGAACGCGAGTCGTCTTTCTCTTTGTTTTTTGTAATTTTAAATTGCAAGGGCGAACATTCCATGTACGGATTTTCATTATCCTCAATCGTTTTTGGATCTTTAAGGGGATTCATGGTGATCATGTACGTTCCGTCTCTTTTTTTTATTTGTAAAGTTGGTTTCGGGGCGACGGAGGCGTCGGTGTCTGAATCGTATTGTGATTTGGGTCTTCTTCTTCCTTCTCTACCCATGCCACTTCCTAATGGTAACGGTGTCAGTCCTCTTTCTTTCCGATGAGCTATAATTCTAGCAGCGATAGTACGAGCAACGGCGCCTGGCCGCCAACCTCTCCTAGGCTGGAACAGAAGCACAGTTGCACTACTTAGGTACTATCAATCACCATATCAACCTTTAATCCCACACACGGAACGTCGATATTCCACGCCCAACCCATTTTCGCAGGTACGTTTCGTCCGGGGATGATACACTCGCGATGACCAACATTGACTCCGGGATATAAGTCTCCCAATTTATACACATAATTTGCTTTTCGTCTTTTTCCTCTCATTCTTCTTGTAGGTTTAGCTACATCTGAACTTGGGATGGGCGTATTATTAGAAAACCGTTCTGTAAAAGGAACACTAGCGTTAAGTATCTAAAAAATCCGTGTCATTACGTGGAATGGCCGTGCCGTCATCCCCTGCGCCCAAACTAGCTTTACGTGAAGACCTTCGGTGATTATCCAGCTCAACGGGAATCGTTGCGCCACCCAGCTCAATTTCACAAGGAAATGCAGTTGGTATGTCACCATTTACACACTCTGAGTGAACTCCGAACGGACACTCGGGGTTGCTACATACACTATCTTTAGCTTGCATTTTCGCCGCGTTACCATCGCGATATGGACAGTCGGGATTTGGGCATATGGAATCAAACGATGGACTGTTCTTGTTGTAAGAGCAATCGGGATTGGCACAAACTGAATTGTTGTCAGGTGCGCTTGATTGAAATGGACATTGTGGATTGTCGCACAAATCCGCCTGGTTCTCCGGAATAAAACAAGGTGATGGTTTTCTGGGAGTAAAAGGGCGTCCCGCGCTTGGCGCCCGACCGCCGGCCGAAGAGCCGGGACAAGGTCGCGCGGGAAGATTAAGCGGGCAGAAAGCATCGCCACAAGTCGGTGGATTAGCTGGACATGTTGCATTTGTGCAGCAAGGCATTATGCATGTCGTGAAGCACGGCGAAGGCGGACATTGGGCAGGATCACAAGCGGGAGCAGGTGGTGGAGAGACAAAAGGACACGTTGGATCACCACAGGTTGGTGGTGGAGGTGGTTGGGCGTTGGGGCAAGGTTGTGGCGGACTGAATGGGCAATTTGTATCGCCGCAAAATGGCGGGATTGCAAAAGGACATTGCTCACTACCACAAGGTCCTTTGGCGGTGTACCGTAGCTCTTTGGGTTTGAAAGGGCATTGCGGGTTCCTACAAGGCCCTTTTGGTAAGGGTTCTGGGCAATCCCAATGTATTGGATCTAAAGGACGCGATGGGGTTACAGGCGCACTATGGCATGGTGGAGGTTTGCAACGAGCGGTCATATATTGCAAGTCCATTACGTCGTCATCAGTCGTCATTCCTAACCGTTGTTTTGTAAATGGGCAGGTAGGTTTTCCGCATGCACTTTTGAGTTGCTGTGCCTGAAAGGTTTTATCTGCTTCGACAGACTGAGGCCTCGAGTAAGGACAGCTGGGGGTGCCACAAGCCGACAATACGTTGGGTTCTGTTGAAACCCGTGGAGTGGTTCCGTTTACGCTATCCGAATCGGTTGGTGGCGGAAAGCAGAGCTTTTTACACGACTCGTCGATGACATTAAACGCAAACGGACAAATGCTCTGGCCACAAGGCCCTAACGCCTTTTTATATGCACTCAAAACTTTATCAAATGATTGCATTAGGTCCTTACACATCGCCATTGGTTTTGGTGGCATATCAGAACCATCATCCTGCCCTCCTCCACCTCGTAGTCTTAGAGGATTGCCACACTTACATGTCTTAACTTCCTCCTCTTTTTCAGTTTTAGGTATGTAAGGTTGGTCCAAAGAATGTGGACGAGTGTAAACACCATAAGGTCCATAATTTTCCAAATTGCCGTAGGTATGACTCAGTCCGTATGAAATGGGAACGTCGCAATCGCCATGCAGTGTTCCGAGTCCAGAACCGGTTGCTGCCGGACCAATTCCGTACTCGGCGAATTTTTGAGCCCCCGGGCAGTGTTTGTTCTTGCATAGAATTTTGTTCAGTTGTTCCGTTGACATATCTTCCGGTCTTATTCTATCTGTCGATTAAAACAAGTTGCAACCGCTTATTTGCCTATGGATTTTACTACCTTGCTTAAAAAACGTTTTATCGGCTGGGCCGCAAATTGGGGCAACTAGTGGTATTTCCTGCTTGCTTTCTTCGCCATACCTAAAAACGATGGCATTTGTATAATTAGTTTAAAAGGTGCACACACTGACGTTTCTGCTTTAAATGTTGTAGCAGTATTGATGTTTCTAAAAAAATATTTATTAGCTGGCAGTCCTTCCCCGTTGCTTTTGTTGGGTACTATTTGAAATTGGGTTTGAAGACTATGTCCATACGAAGATAATCTTATAAGTACTTCTAAGCTAGCAACGTGCGTTTCGTTTTCGTCAATTAACTCATACATGGCGCAGACAGACGCAGGCTCCACATCATTTGGATTTAATCCAGATTTCTCGACCATTTCAAGAAAATTGCGGGGCCAAGTCACTTTCACTCTTCCAACTGTGTAAGGTGCAGTATTCTGTTTCAGACTAAGCTCTAATGGCGACTGAACTAACGTTAGAAGTAAATCGTTAGATTTGCAGGGAAACAAAATCGATTTGCCCAGATCCAAACTCCAAATTCGATTTTCAGGATCTTTAACAAAGGTTATGAGGAATCTGTGAATTTTTTACTACACATGTTATCCTCACCAATAACTATATCCAACCCTCCAATATCTTCCGATTCGATATCCACGTTAACTAAATGTGCGAAAAGGACGCCTATTTTTATGTCGCTTGGTTTCGAAACGTCAATAGTGGTTGGAGTAAAGAAGATCCGTTCTATTAACACTTCCAACAAATACAACTGCTCCATTTCTCCTTTACGTACAATTTAGCTCCAAATATAGATTAATTTGTTACATTTGACAGTAAAATTTGACTTTATAAGTAACGTTCAGAACAAATGCCGATTCACAAATTTCTAACATGATTTGTTTATACTGACCTTTTCGATTATTATACGAGAAAGTTTTGAGATGGATTTACAGCACGCTAGTAAAGGACTACTAAGGTAACCCAAGAACCCTGCAAGAAGTTGGTCTCCCACTAAATTCTACTAATATAATGCTTTTCCTTCCCACCCGCGTCCATCACGAAATTGCGGAAACAACAAACAACAAATAAACAGAAAAGTTCTTGTACCAGTAAATACTAAAATTCGTCCAATGATAATCTCAATCTTTATTTTTGCAGGTTTCAAAAGTGGACCCTCGGAAATTTGGCGCTTCCTAACAGTAATGGATCAAGCTCTAATGGAAAATGACTTGGACACCACGTCTTGTATGCAAAAAATGGTGTGCTACACGGTAAGGGAATCGTCAAATAAAGTTTCCAACGGCCTAGCGTCGAGTAAAGACAAAATCATTGATGGAATAGTAACAAATGAATGGATAAGTAAATTATTCGACGGTACGCCGGTGCAGTCGGCGATAAGAAGTGGTTTAGATGGAGTGAATTGTTCGAACGAGTACAGCTTGTGTAAACTAGAGCAAAAGACGTTTGCTAATTTGGTTAGACAGTTCGCGAATACCATTAATTTGACGTAACGAGTGTAACTAGTCATAATACATACCTAATTTGTTTACTTTGCATATATTATTTGTTGTAGTGATAATTGTTGGGAAATTAAGTTTATGTTTTTTCTACATGTTATTTAGCATTGTTTTATTGTAAATAAGTATACATTTTGTTAGCAGTATTAATATACCTTTATCAAAATGTAGATAATTTTAGTTTGTAGCAATCATCCTGATTTGAACCACACAAAACCCGAGATGAGCTTATGTTTAGTGTAATGGCCTCTGACAGTACATAAAGTGAAGTGATAAAATGTAGAGGTATGACTTTGATTAGCAGACTCTGTAACGGAAGCCCGCTATACCGCTGTCGATTTTTTAAAAATTGTATTTGATTTAAAGTAAGCTATGACCAACAAAAAAAATGACTCGAATTGGCCCTGAAAGAGGGAGATAAACGTATCGGTCATCTGTAATTGTAGTTCATTTTTAATGTCACCTTAATTAATATTAGACTGACCTAAAATTTCCTTCTCTGAATCCAAATTTTGTTGATCATACCTACAACCCAATAAAATTGCATAATATGTACCGCTTCACACGAAAAGTGAACAATATAGTAACAACAAAGCGCGTTTAAAATGCTTTGCGATACTCTAAGTGAGTCGCGAGGATTGCGTGGGTTGCGTATCGGTTATTCTGCAGTGCTGAGCAACCCATTAGATAAGAATAGAAGTACCAGGTTGGTTGAAATGGGCTGCCGGCAGGGCCGGATAAACCATAAGGCGATATGGGCAATCGCCAGAGGCGAAAAGCGAATGGGGGCGAAATTTGTTGGGCCAATTCTTCCTAATTATCAAAAAAAATATAAATAAGAATCATACAACTTTACAGTTGGCATGACGACTCCTCAGGAGATGAAACTCAACTAAATCGCTTTACGAATATACCTTTGTCTTCTAACAACAAATGCGGCAGGTGAATGGTCGTTCTCTACCCCAAAAGAATTAAAAATTATTTGAGAAACTGTTTGAAAAATGATAAAACGATTAACTTAGCATATATATTTCTACAGACATTTTTAATTCTTTGGACGAAAATTCTATAATAGAAAGATTTATTGCTTTAAAGATTAGAAAAAAATTTTAAAACGTTCAGGAAATTTAATACCTATGGTTTTATGTTTGTCTAAATGTTGTTTGTTCTTTTGCCTAAATAAGATTTTATTTTCTGGTAAAATGTCATTTTCGGTTAGTTAAAAAAAAATTAAAATGTGTCTTTAACTTGACGGACATATATACATTCAACATACATTTCTTGAAGGGGGGGGGGGGGGGAGAGAATTTTATTTGCCCAGGGCGAAAAAAGTCTTAATCCGGCTCTGGCTGCGGGAGCTATAGAAGGTCTGTCGGTCTGTGGGTGCAGACGAGCGTTCCGTTGGGTTGGGTCTGTATCGTTTTTTCTACTCGGAAATAGAGGAAAAGCAAAGTTGGGGGAGATACGCATCGATCGTCTTAGAGTATGGGTCGCCCACTAAGAAATTTTAATTGCGAGATAAAGCGGTGTAAATGGTTTCCAAACAAATTTGCGCACACGGACTATGGGATGGTATACTAGTAGAGGAACTTTTTATTCAGTTTTGTCGTATAACACCATCGCATAGTCCGTGTGCGCGAATTTCGAAACACCATGCATACAATTGTAAACTGACGTTTCCGGGGAACAAACCGTAGTTAAAGTGGAATTTCAATTAATATAAATTCGAAAGCAGATGTTAACCAGTTTTGGTGTTTAGTCTTGAAATCGTTTTATTAAGTGCTCTATTAATGACTGATACTACGGAAGCGGGGCGCTAGTTTGAGTTGAAGATATTAAATTTATTGCTCGTTAATTTCCATACAATAAAAGGTAATCGTACCAGGTAGAACAGTAGGAGATCCAATTTTTAGTTTCTGTGTTGCCCAGCTTCAAGGTACCATCTTTTCCGGAAGGGCTGCACCGTTCTGTACCATATGAAAACCATTGATTTTAGAATTTTAGCATCTAGAACGCGTAGATTGTTACCAAAGCAGCAGCGAACATTACTGCTTCGGTGGTTCCGCTTTAACCGCAATTGAAAAACAAAAGCTGCTGATCCACTATTGGTTTAAGTGGGACGCCGGTCGCAGAAATTTCGTTTGTTGCGTTTTACCTAATTATAAATAACCAAGCGCAAAAAAAGACGAGTAGCGATGGTGAAAGCGGAAAGGTAGCCCGCGCGATTTTATTCACTGCAAAATCAGAATTAGTTGAAAAAGTAATTCGATTTTCGATTTGTGAAATAATCGGATAAAAAATGGCGTGTTAATTTATGAAGAAGAGCAATCGTTTAATCGCAGAAGTAATACAGATTAGTTTTTAAGATACGAAAAAAGACTCCTACTCTCTAAAAATATCTACGTAGACAGAATTTCGACGACGGAAGAAATTAAATTATGTCGTTACGGCAGCAACGAAGTTGAAGTGTATTTTGCATCAACAAACCAATATTCGTAACGCGGGGAATAAAACCACAAGTATGAATTGTGCACAACTCTTGTGCAGACAAAGTGTATTTTTTAAAACCGAAACAGCTTAGTAAGTAATGGAGTTATAAGGTAGAAGCATACTATATTTATCGATGTTTAGCTTCTCGGTAGATGATTAATTGGGGGGGGGGGGGTCTTTGAGACCTTTTAGTAGAGTTCCATGAAGGATAAAACCAGCCATTCTTAAGGCAAAAGGAAGAAAGGTGGTAGTTCGTAGAAACAGTTTCCTTTCGTTGACTTTTTGATTCTTAAAAAATGCGCTAAAAATAGCCGTGTAGATAAAATTGCAGTAGGTACGCTTCCTGAAATATCACGAATCTAATTATAGAATAGACTCTTATCAACATCGCGAATTTGTAAACCTAGATCTTTGACCTGGAGAAGATTGGGAGAATGGGAGCGCTGTATGAATAAAGTATAAACGAAAACTTATTTAATAACCTGAGACGAGCCTTATTTTCTTCCATTGCCACCACTGTTGGAGTTTGTCGATGTCTTAAGCTGCAGTTACCAAAGACCGTTGACCTTTGTACTTTGTACCGTATTCCTTAAGTTAAATAATCTTATAATTCGTTTTTGCGTGAGAGATTCACGGTAGAATTCAGTAGATTGTCCCCATACAATAACTTATATCATATTGCATCGAGGGTATTGTATTGCATAGTATAAACATTAAAGCCGCATTGACACAATGCAAGCACGCTGGCGCCAGTAAACTACAACCTAGTACGGTATAGTGTTTAAATTTACAGTACTCTTCCAAGAATGGGTTAGCAGCCCTCCAAACACTTTTGGAAAGAAGTATTTAGTATCTTCAACGCACGGTCACCTGTAGAAGGTATTTCCTGTTGGCGAAGGTTATTGAATCATTTATCCTTTAGTTAGTAGTTCATCAAAATATGATTGGGACACCCGAAAATAATTAAAGAAGCGCACAGGATCTTGCCGTAAGGCCAGGGTCAGACGAGCGTTTATTAAACGGACGTAGGAACAATGAAAGGGTTGGAGCATGAATAGTATAGGACAGAAAGGAGACAAGCTGGTTGAGGACGAAACAACAACGCATATTAAATATTGACACAAAAATCCCAAAAAATACATTTTCAGCTAGTTCCCAAGAAAAAGTTCATCACATTTTATTGCATTATAACAATACATTTTACAATAATACCTGCACGTTGTTAATTTAACAACACACTTGCACTGATAATAAATAAATAAGTAATTAGTACAATAAATAACTTCAACAACAAAATTTATCTTATGTCATTGGCCATCTGTGAGCTCCCCTCTGAGGTTAATACTTATAAGCTGCAATAAATTAATTACACGTTTTGAAAATAATTGGTTATCGGCAATTACCTTCTTTTTTTCTTCTAATAGTAACTGATCTTGTCCCAAAACGTACGAAAGTTTGGTGAGCGCAGCTTCGACCGTCATATCGTACCCGCATATTAAACCAATTTCCTTTAAGGCTTGCCCCGTTTCGTAAGTCGGCGCAACCGCCCCTTGTGCGCATTGCGTTATGTTTACGATGATTACCCCACTTTCAATTGCCTCCCTAAACACATCCAACACGTCCTTTCGATTTGTGGGAACGTTACCAGCACCGTAACTCTGCAAGACCACACCGTCCACACCTTTTCCAATAAACGACTTGATCTACAACCAAAAATAAGTCCAGATCATCAATGTTTTCTAGTTCACCAAACACTTACCATCGCCCCAGTAATCGTTGGAAAGACAGACAAGACAACAACGTTAGGATTTAAATTTTTACTAACAACGAATTCCTCTTCACGATTACTTTTAAGCGTTAAACTGCGGTTCACTAAAAGAGACGAAAGTTGAACACTCATTTGGACTAACATGCAACAACTCACTTGTGATATCAATTCCAATATTAGCCAAAGGCGGAATGTTAGGGGAATCGAATGCGTCCAGCAGATTTGTGCTCACCTTCGCCGTACGATTACCTCGAAAGAGCTTGTTCGAAAAATACACGCACACTTCAGAAACGTTGAAACAGGCAGCGATTATAAGTGACGCTAGAAAATTACTCTTCGCATCACTCCTATTTTCATATATCGGAATCTGAAAAATTGAGTTTTGAATTTCGTATTACCTAATACGTAGTGAAGCTTATATTTACCTGAGATCCAGTTAGTACGACTGGCTTTTGCAAGCCATTTAGCATGAAGGATAGCGCAGAGGCTGTATACGCCAATGTATCCGTACCGTGCAAAATTACAAAGCCATCGTATTTGTAATAGTAGGTCTAAAAAAAGAGCATTTTTTATTTACAGTGAGTATAAAAGGGGTCCAAAAGTTTCTCGATTGCAAATCATTATTATCATTCAAAAAACTGGGGTTTGATTGTACATGGTATTCATTGTAAGCAATTTGTTACCGAGTGGATTATAGTGATAACATTGATACCCTTTGCATGTAAAGCCAAAACTAATCGAGGTCACAGTAACTTGTATGTCATCACTGTAAGATGATGAGGAAATGCAGATAAGTTTACCAGTTTTACCAAACGATCATTGATTAGATGGAAACTAGAAAATGATCGTGATGAAACAATAACATTCGCTCGTATGCAAAGAGTGTACAATATGTAAGTAGGGTAGATATACCTACCTCAATATCGGTAGCGATTCTGATCCAGTCCTTGACGGACATGTTGCTCGAATCATACAACGGGTCATATTCGATAACTGTGTACACTACAACTTGCTCCTCGTAAATGTACCTGAAAAATAAGTTTTGAGAGGAAATTTAGTACATTTTCAGTCTTACGGAATTATGAGCTCGTCGGATCTTTGTTCGCCAAAGTACAACTCAGCGTATTCTTTATTGTGCAACTCCGGGATGTTTCTCAACTGGCGCGTTAAGGGGTGTGGTGATGGCACATACACTGTAATAAAAAGAAAACTATCAAGATGTTCAAATTCTTTAATGAAAAAAAAATTACCCAATTTAATAAAATAGGTAATTTTGCAAATAGCTCTTTAAAGACTTCCTTGATCATTTATCTATCAATTATTTGATATTTACATATTTTGTTTGCAAAATGATTTATTTTGACATATAATGTGTGTAATTACGATCAATCGCACCGCTCACGTATAAATAATACTGGAAGACAAGTAAAAGGGTTGTCAACCACACTGTTTTGAGTAGAGCCCCAAGCGGAGCGACATTTCCGGAAGTTTTGTAAGCTGTGCAGAAAACCAGGACACTTTAATGGTGGGTTTATATATAATCGTTACAATGTTAGATCATTGATAGCCAATAGAAACAAAAGTTTATTGTGCGTCACTAACCAACGAAACCATGCATTTGATTCTATTAGCTATTTCTTAATGAAGTAAATAATGATTGTATAAACCCACCATTAATCTGAGGGCAGGAAAAAAGGGAAACTCAAATGCCACATGTGTGTGGGAAAATTGGGCACAAGGCGAAGGAATGGCAATTGATCAAGGGTACATCTGCACCATAAACACAAATTCCTGTGGTTTTTTGTAGAACTGAAAGTATTGTTGTTATGAATCAATGAAAATTGAATTTGCTAAAAAAAATCAGTTTCTCGTTTGAAGTTGATTTGTTCCAAGTTCCAGCTAGAAAATCTTCAAATTCAAAGGCCCATCATGGTAAATTGTGCATAACAAACCGTTCTTGATATTGTGTTATCTTTGAATTAAAATTAAGGATAATTTACAGAAAATCGTGCAACGAGCTTCATCTAGATATTTTGAAATGTAAATCTGTAACTATATTCCAAGCCCTCTAGTAACGGGCTGGTGTGCCCGCTCAATGTGTATTTTGTTTTTTGTAAAAAAAAAGTGTATTACATGTGGTAATCACTTTATTCTTTCTTGTACTAACCATTAATTGAACTTTTTTTTCAAATAACAACCCCAAAATTTTTTTACATTCGAAATACTTTGTTTTTCTGCGACAACCTTCAAGAATGATGCTATAAAATTTATCACAAAAAAACGGGGAAAAAATGTCAAAGGAAAAAAATTAAAATTTCGTAAAAATTTTGGCAGTGTACATATAAAGGATATAAGACTTTTTTTAAATATCTGGTTTGAGCTAGAAAGCTGTTCCGTCAAGAATTTCGCACTTGGTTTACATTTTGCATTAGTTTATGTTGTTGATGGCAACATAGCGTGCTCCAAGCTTAATTTTACAAGTGTACCATTATTGCATCACGTTTGCTTGTTTATAATGTACCGTGTGTCCTATTTTGGTTAAGACTGCGGGGTATCAGCTGTTTTTAAAGATAGAGACTTGCGGATTTCACGACCCTGTACCTACCACTTTTTTGTGAAACACCGCAAACAGAATCAATCTAGCTACGTTTGATAAGCGTGCAATCGAGAAGTTTGACTTTTTCGGATGTTATCGTATCTTATGTAAGATAAAAAAAAAGGTAAAAACTGCCCATTCTAGATATTTTTCTGTAGAATCCAGTGGCGTAACAATTTTGGACCACCGTTTCTAAGATTTGACCCAAAGTTGGTATTTTTTATATACCCTGAACAAAAAATTAATAATCTTATTTTTTACGGTTTTTATATAGTAGGCCATGGATTCATGGAGACCTTGTTTTTGTTTTTGTATTCATGGCAGCCGGTAGCAATCAATAAAAATGGCTGACGGTAGAAACATGCCATTTCAAAATCTTGAAAAATATGATAGGTATAATATAACATATAATTATACAAACAAATTTAGGCTGTGATACACCAATGTAATTCGGAATGCAAATAATTGATGTTAAGATATATAGGGTGGTTCATTTAAAAAATACCAATATTGGGTCAAATCTCAGAAACGGTGATCCAAAAATGTTGTTGACTTCTCTACGTAAAAATATCTAAAGGCAACAATTTATACCTTTTTTCTTTCTTACGTGGGTAATGCCCAGATTTTGTGCGTAAGCAATGCGAGAAAAGGGGGTCCCCTAATTAACAATCTTTCCCGACACTCTTCAAGGTGTATACATATACATGGTCTTAAAACTGCAGAGAGATGAATTGAGGGAAAGAGAGTTCAACAAATGTGATTATTATAATTATCAAGTCAACGCCGTGTTTATCCATATCTTGGGCACCCATCTTTAATTTAAAAATTTTTTGCAAACATATTGAAATTGAATTGTATTTGGCATTGACGCGAATGAAAATTATTTACATTAAGCAATCGGATTGATTGCGTGTTTAAATTAAATGGTGCTTGTCGGAATTCTGGAAATATCCGGTTTAATTACAGACTTAGGGCAATCACAAGTGATATTCTATTTAATTTATCTATTTATTTATGTACAGTAGATAATTATTATATCTTAGTGAATTATACAGTGTGTTCGTCCTGTACTCCTATAACGAACTTTTTGTACAATATTTTTATATATTCTCATAGAAACCGATTTTATGGTAGAAAGGTAGAGTTTCTCTCAGAATAAACCATTTAAATGTAACCATGCATCTTGGAATATACATATAACCTATATTCTTTCATATGCAATACAACCGTCACTCACTAGGTACTATTGCCAAATCAATAAAAGAGGTTATCAAACTAGATAGCTTTTAGAGCATAAATCCAGTTGTGTCTGGTATTGAGCCTGCACAATTTGGGGAATCCAAATCTTTTCCATCACAGCGGGTACTACAGGGCCGTGGCATTCAGTAGGGCAACCGGGAAAGTGCCCTAGGCGCCAAAAAGTCTTAAGATTTTTTAAAATAAAAATTATACAAAAGTATTTACAGTTTTTATTTTGCAATTTTAAATGCACTTGCGGCAGGATTGATCGTAAATAAGTAATATAATAATTCTAAAATAAGTATAGTGAATTTGCTAAAGTTAAAGCTAGAAAAGTAAATTCTAAATAAATATTTAGTCAAACATTTTTTTAAATAAAAAGTATGCAAAATCTGTATTTATATATTTAAGAAGTGCAGTATTATTTATAATAAAAATATGCAAAGACCACATTATTATTGTTATTATTATTATTAAAAAAGGCGCTTCCGACAAACTTTGCACTAGGCGCAATTTTACCTTGCCACGCTCCTGGGGTATACTATCTCTAACGTAGGAACTAATTGATTGTTTGCCAAAGATTTTGAGGAGCTATTCCGAATAACTAACGATATTATTTGGCAGTTTTGTTTCAAAAATTCTTAAATGGTTTTTAGACCAACCGATCAATCAAGGGGATGCCAAAATGAATTTGTAAAATGTATCCTACGCCAATTACAGTTTCTACTTTCTAGCATGCATTTGTTGATTTATTTTTGATACTTTTTTGGAGAAGTTTATAATTTTTACTGCCTATGGATCTTTCAAACAATGAAAACCCGTGAAAGATCAGTATTTCCGCTCGAATATCCTCTGAGAAAGTGATTACCTAATTTATCAAATGATGGAGTTTTTTAGGGTATTTCCATCATTACTTTATTAACAAAAACACTACTCACATTATAAACAAAGCTGATTACTTATTAATCAAGGAAGTACCTATGCCAAAAAGTACCTACTTACTATTATAATAAGGTCAACTCTATTCAGCAGGAAATTGTTACGGTTAGAAAATACTTTCATTTTAATTTATCGTAATGCATATCTGTACTATAAATACTTTACATAGTTTCATTTGCCAAAAAATATAATAGTTTCTGATCAAAACGCGTTTTAAAAAATGAAACCATCAAAAGGTATCATATCTTAAAAATAATGAAGAAAATAAGTAATGAAGCTACTTACCACCTTTATGATTTTTTTGCATACCAATTGTTCCACCGGTATAAACCACCAACACCTTCTTTATTTCTTTGCATTCACCTGGCATTTTGATCTCGCTGGTCACGTAGGTAACTAACTGATTCTAAACGAATTTAACCTTAATACCCGCGAACCTTACGTACATATGATAATTTTATTAAACAACAAATACGTCAACGCGCTTCCGAGTGGTTAACGTCTATATTAAAGAGCTGTACTACAGTAGCAATAGTAGTAATTGCTCGTTTAAATATATAGCCGATAGTCGGGTACCAATCTAATCGTGTATTGTTATCGTCATACATAATATGGTAGGTACAGAGGTTATTATAACAAATTATAGAACGGAATAACCAATGAACTGGCTGCCGATTCTCTACGATTAATTTCATCTCGATTAATAGAAATTTTTTATTTATTTACGTCGACATTTTTATATGCGTCAGGCAATAATTTGGACCCAAATTGGTAACACATTTCAATTAGTTTTCGTATCTAGGAGGATGCCTGTAATGTGTTTATGCATTTAATTGCACAATTTATTAACTTGGTTTTTTTTGGGACCACAGGAATTTTACCATACTGACTTTAAATATAATATACACAACACAATGATGCAATATCTATCTACTCTTTAACAATAAGTTTAGGGTAAAAAATGGTTAGACATTTCATATTACTGCGGTAACCTTTTGTTATACGCTTAACTGAGCAATGACTTTATTGGGCGTGTTAATTGAATAAAAATGCATTAAAGTACATAGGTTACCGCGGCGCAAAACAGGTGTAATAGAAGGTTGCACGCGGACAATACGTCACGAGTCCGCGAAAGGATTATCGCGGTAACGGGTACTTGCAAAACCAGAAATGAAATGTCCGCTGATCATTGAAGTCATATAAACAAATAATATCATTTGTTGGTAAATTTATGTCGTCATAAAACTTTTTAAACCAAACTTTTCCAGGAGCGCTTCCTTGATTTATAATAAAAAATATCCCCTTTACTAACAATTTACAATCTTAAAATTAAAATGAACCACGCTGGAGGATTCTCGATGTATATTAATGAACTCGAAAAGTGTAATTATTTTTTGATTTTTTTAAACGGGTTAGAGTAAATGATCGAAAGGTGGGATTTCGTCGCGTGCAGCCCGCCGCAACTCCAGCCCTTAACGCCTGCTACAATGCTTTGCTCGTGAAAATGACTTCAACGACGCGGCGCACTTGAAAGACGCCTACGTCTCGACTACTCATAGTGGTTACCTTAAGTGTATGCCAAAAACGAAGGAGTGCCTCTTGGTCGTTCAAACTCGAAGCACTGTTTGATCCACTAGGTTGACCCAAATGGTTGAAAACGACGGGCGATACAAAATTCCAGGTCTCGTATAACGAATGGCTCCTTTGATTTCAATGTTATAACAGGTGGCCGCCTTGTCGTTTCAAAAATTTGTTTTTGAATTTGTATTTTGTTAAACAAAAGACGTATACCGCTTCATAACGAACATGAACAAAAAGATTGGTTGCCACGATCTCGTCAAAACTAAGAGTTGAGTTCCGTTCCGTTCTCTTTAAAGTTGAGTTCGTGAAGGAATGCAGATTTACTGTTCGTTTAAAAAGGTACGCTAGTCGAAGTCTTTGCGTTAAGAAATAAGTCCCATTTCAAAACTGTTACTGGGAGAGAATTAAATAGCAAGAAAAGTGGGAGAGCGGGCATTCTAAGTTTGATTTCACGAGTCGAAACGTACCATTTTGGTCGCCTTAAAAAATGTGATTTTACACCAATTTTCTCGAGCGGTCACGTACTACTTGAGATCCGCTGAAATTGAATTCTTAGTGAAATTACGAGCGTGAGCCCGAACCAAATTGGGGGGCGCTGTGTGTAAAAAATCTCGCCGTTGACATTTCTTTGCTGTGTTGTGAGAACTATCCTTGCGTATGTGTGCGATTTCAAGAACCGACATTTATCGAGTAAAATATATCCGAATAGTAAGTAGTAAAGAAATCGCATTTAACTTCGTGTAAAAACATATTTAAAATTTATTAATATAAACATGTCGGGTATGTCGTGGAGAAACAATGACACAAATTCGGATTTGTGAGAAAATTAGTTACGTGCCATTTTATACGTGTGCGAATAAACGAATTACAATAAATTCCGGGCACATTTTATTTACGAGTGGTAAAATATACGCGAAGGGACATTTTCGAATAGGAAATAAAAACGGAATTAAATAAACTGAAATTAAAAGAAGTTTTTTTCTCGGATCGCTAACAGTAACGGCTGGTGAAAAACAAGTTCCTTAATATTGAGTGAGGTCTTTGGACAACTTCTTGTGCGATGAATAACATTTTGTATACAAATCCATGCGGCAGGGAATTTAAAGACAATTAATCGGTGCATTTATCCTCAACAAAACGTAGTTAATAAATCGGGCAAAATTATTATCAACACAATGGATCATTGGCATTTTATTCTTCTTCTTCTATTTTTATTTTAGGAATTTGCATATAAAGAATTATTGTTCGAAGAAATTTTAATATTCCTAAATGAATCTAGTGAAAATTGCATGAAATAGACTTAGGTTACATGACGTTATTAAGCCCCCCAGATTCGATCATGAAATTAATAAAAGTTGCTCGAGGGAACCTTAATTAAGCGTTTTCAACAAAAAAATTGCAGAAGAAGCCCTAAATTTTCCACTATCCTTAATTCAAAGTTCACATTATTTCATCGAACTATGAGGTTGTGTTACTTAAATTTCACGATTAGTTTTAAGTTGGTAACTGTGTGCGTAACATTCCAACCTTAATTCCTTAAGAGGTTATGTTATTCTTCCACGATTTAATAAACGTAACAAAATAATGTATCTATACATGTATTTCTAATTATACCATAAGAGCAAGTAGTACTCTAGATGTTTTGCATAATTCATGTGTACATTATTTACAGATGAGCAGCAGCCTTCGGGCTTGAAATACTAACAAAGTATACATACTTTTGAAGATTTTCTACTACAAATTGATTTCACTTAATCACCAGTTGGTACGTAGAAGGTAATCGAAATTAATCGTCGGTAGATAAGAAAGACGCGGTCTATGAAAGATGCGAAAGGTGTCCCTTCCCCTTTCAGGTGTATAAGGAGGTCTATACTAGTCACCGACAGGCACGAAAAAGACGTTCGAAGTCAATCAGCGGTCGATACAAAAGAATCGGTATATGGATAAGATGCGAGAACTTTTAATTAAAATTGTGGAAAATTTCGGATTCTTCCGCAAATCTTTTTGTTGAAAACGCTTAATTAAGGTGCCTTCTAGCCCTTTTTATTAATATCATGATCGTAGCGGGGGGGGGGGGGGGGGGGAGGCTAAAAACGTCATGTAATTTAAATTGAATTTTGTTTAGCATTCAGAACTCAGAAGTATGTATATGATATAGGTACAGGAGAATATAGCAGTAATTCATTATGTGGTCTCATTTTATGAACCACACTAATGTTTTGCATGTAGGAACCTGTAAAGAAAAATGGAAATTGATTGCCTTTATTTTTATTACTATATTCAATCAACTAAGTTCACGTGAGTAAAAAAAACGATGAAACAATACATCAGTAAGATCATTTGAATTTAAATTTGGGATTTTAAGAGTAGATAACGGGCCAAACTTCCACAGTAAGATGTATAAAACACATTTTTATAACTGAGCTAGCCGTGGATAAATTAGAAATTAATTGTCCTATTAAAGTTTATGCCAGTGCTGTAGAGGTTCAACAGTCATACGCCCTTATAATTGAAGGTCATCAAACCATATTTCGCGCGTTTAAAACTTTACTAGCTTGTTTTACATGTATGTAACTTCTCTATCGTATTAGCACGAAATTTCTAGGTAAAGAATACACGCTCTCGGTCTTATCAATACTTATATCAACTTAGTGGCGACTTGATACAGCCTTGATATCGCTCTACAAAGTTCGCTACAATATCTTCACAAAGAACATAGTTAGTCTTACACCTTCAGTGCATGCGCTCATTTGATTTTCGACAAATGTGCTACATCGCCAAAACTTTCATTTCATAACGAACCACCACTTGCAATTTGTAATTTTAATAGATAACCATAACTTGCAAAAACACTTCCATTTGGATAGCTAGGGGGAAATTTGATGGAAGTTAGGTTGACCTTAGATTTAGCATTTATGTTTTAAACGTGTATTATAACCATAAATAAACCAGATCATCCAAAATTGATTTTGTGGATATTTTTTTAAGGAGAATTTTACGGACTTATAACTTTCAAATTTCGGTAGCTGGGGCCGCTGGGGATGCTAAAAGTGCTAAAAGTAAGGTAATCCTTCCAAGGAAATGACACATTGTCGAAATTAACGCACTATAGCAGCATAACAACATGTTACCAATTGTTCTTCTATCGAACAGACGTAATCTAGACGATTATCGCTACATAATCCACAACTCTGAAAATGGGAACCTATACGTTATATGGAGGATAAGTAAGGTATCAAAGTATCAATATCAAGGTATTAGTCCAGTCAAATTAGCTCTAAAAGTAGTATAAACTGGATGTTGTCATTTCACTGAACGAAACCAAGCGTATTCTATGTAAAAAAATTCGCTGAATCGGAAAATCATAGTCCCTTCGGCCGGAAACGCCCGGAACATATTGTTATAAACAAAAAACGAAGAAAAAATGGGAAAATGTCGTGTTTTTCACATTTGACTGCCAAGATCACCGTAGGTTTTATACTCCTTGATTAATTAGATAAACAAGTAGAAAAAGAGAGGCTTTGTCTTTCAAACTGGGGGAGTACAAGAGTGTTCTCAATTTTTTTATACATATTATAACCCTAAAACAATCTTTTCCAATAATTGTCCCGATGATTCCTGCAAATCGACGGGCTGTGCAATTTTTTTTTTCAAAATCCGAAGAATTTTCTTAGTTAACAAATGGAATAACTCCCGAAATGTAAACAAAAAAAATATAACTCTATAATATGCGAATGTAAAGCTCTCGGAAAGCCGTACATTAAAAAAAAATACGTCCAAATCCGATTAATAGTTCACGAGAAATCAGCTTTTGACTTTGAAGCCAGTTTTCGAAACAACCAAAAATGATTTTGCAAATCGGGTCGCACCGATCGATTCTTTACAGCGTGAACTTTTTTCATGCTTCTATTTCACCAAAATGAATGCTTTTTATTAATCCGAGTGCCAAGGGCCGATTA